GAACCATGTCAACACCATCATCCCAGACACCTTGCACCCGGGTGTGCCAACCTGGCCATACTCGTAATCGTATCCGACAATTGATAGTCGGAAGGGATGATACTTGTGCTCTGAAAAAATGTTTTAAAATGCCTAAGTAGATGTTGTCAAAATACCCATCTCCCTGCATGTTTATAGACCAAAAAAGCTGCAGATTAGGAGCAGCGTGCAGAGGGGTGTGTGTGTCCTTAATTTGCAGCTGGCAGACAACTTTGCTGTCATAATGCGTATCGGCAGTTAATATTTGTTTCCTACCCTCGCCTAACTTGTTAGATATTATGCACATTGATAGCTTGCTAGGCTAGCAAACGTCCTCATCATTTGATTTATCACAGTAGCAGGCTAACAAGAGGCAGCAGCGATCTAAAGGATCAGACCGAAATATGCAAGAAGTGATAGGGTGAAATTTTTTAAGCGAAGCAACTGGACAGAGAAATACACCTTCGCTCTATCCAATCAAAGCAGCAGGATCAACGTACAGCCCTCCCTTCTCTTTACAAACAGGCAAACTAGCCAGCTGAGTTAGTTAGACCACTTAGCACTTGATTGAAAGATGCGCGCTGGCACCCGGAAATCTTTTTTTACGAAAGCGGATAATTACTAATAATACTCTGATCATAATCCTCAAGAAAATTGCCCATATCAGTTACAATACTCGTTTTGTCCGACTACTCGGCACTCCCATACCTACTCCAATTTGCATACTAACCCAACAGATCCACAGATGGCGCAATCTCTATTGCACAAAAGGAACACCTATGTGAGAATGCTGTTAATTGACTACAGCTCAGCGTTCAACACTAGTGCCCTCCAAGCTCATCACTAAGCTAAGGACCACGGGACTGAACACCTCCCTCTGCAACTGGATCCTTTACTTCCTCACGGGACGCCCCCAGGTAGTGAGGCAACACATCCGCCACGCTGACCCTCAACACAGGGGCCCCTCAGGGGTGCGTGCTTAGTCCCCTCCTGTACTCCCTGTTCACCCACGACTGCGTGGCCGCGCACGACTCCAACACCATCATTAAGTTTGCCGACGACACGGCGGTTGTAGGCCTGATCACCGACGACGATAAGACAGCCTATAGGGAGGTGGTCAGAGAGCTGGCAGTGTGGTGCCAGGACAATAACATCTCCCTCAAAGTCAGCAAGACAAAGGAGCTGATCGTGGACTACAGGAAACGGAGGGCCTAGCACGCCCCCATTCACATTGACGGGGCTGTTGTGGAGCGGCTCGAGAGCTTTCAGTTCCTCTGTCCACATCACTAAGGACCTATCATGGTCCACACATCAACACAGCCGTGAAGAGGGCACAACAATGCCTCTTTCCCCTCGGGAGGCTGAAAAGATTTGGCATGGGTCCTCAAAGTTCTACAGCTGCACCATTGAGCATCTTGACTGAATCACCGCTTGGCATCTGAACGCAAGGCGCTACAGATGGTAGTGCGTATGGCCCAGTACATCACTGGGGCCTAACTCCCTGCCATCCAGGACCTCTATACCAGGCGGTGTCAGAGGAAGGCCCTAAAAATTGTCACTCATAAGACTGTTCTCTGCTACCGCACAGCAAGCGGTACCGATGCACCAAGTCTGGAACCAACAGGACCCTGAACAGTTTCTACCCCCAAGCCATAAGATTGCTAAATAGTTTGTCCGGCTAGCTATTTGGTTAACTATCTGCATTGACTCGTTTTGCACTCGTCACATACGCTCCTGCTACTGTTTACCATCGGTCACGTCATTCCTAGTTATGTACATATCTACCTCAATTACCTCATCCCCCTGCTCATCCACTCGTACTGGTACCCTTTGTACACTGCTCAAAAAAATAAAGGGAACACTTAATCAACACAATGTAACTCCAAGTCAATCACACTTCTGTGAAATCAAACTGTCCACTTAGGAAGCAACACTGATTGACAATACATTTCACATGCTGTTGTGCAAATGGAATAGACAACAGGTGGAAATTAAAGGCAATTAGCAAGACACCCCCAATAAAGGACTGGTTTTGCAGGTGGTGACAACAGACCACTTCTCAGTTCCTATGCTTCCTGGCTGATGTTTTGGTCACTTTTGAATGCTGGCGGTGCTTTCACTCTAGTGGTAGCATGAGACGGAGTCTACAACCCACACAAGTGGCTCAGGTAGTGCAGCTCATCCAGGATGGCACATCAATGCGAGCTGTGGCAAGAAAGTTTGCTGTGTCTGTCAGCGTAGTGTCCAGAGCATGGAGGCGCTACCAGAAGACAGGCCAGTACATCAGGAGACGTAGGAGGGCAACAACCCAGCAGCAGGACTGCTGCCTCTGCCTTTGTGCAAGGAGGATCAGGAGGAGCACTGCCAGAGCCCTGCAAAATGACCTCCAGCAGGCCACAAATGTGCATGTGTCTGCTCAAACGGTCAGAAACAGACTCCATGAGGGTGGTATGAGGGCCCGACGTCCACAGGTGGGGGTTGTGCTTACAGCCCAACACCGTGCAGGATGTTTAGCATTTGCCAGAGAACACCAAGATTGGCAAATTCTCCACTGGCGCCCTGTGCTCTTCACAGATGAAAGCAGGTTCACACTGAGCACGTGACAGACGTGACAGAGTCTGGAGACGCCGTGGAGAATGTTCTGCTGCCTGCAACATCCTCCAGCATGACCGGTTTGGCGGTGGGTCAGTCATGGTGTGGGGTGGCATTTCTTTGGGGGGCCGCACAGCCCTCCATGTGCTCGCCAGAGGTAGCCTGACTGCCATTAGGTACAGAGATGAGATCCTCAGACCCGTTGTGAGACCATATGCTGGTGCGGTTGGCCCTGGGTTCCTCCTAATGCAAGACAATGCTAGACCTCATGTGGCTGGAGTGTGTCAGCAGTTCCTGCAAGAGGAAGGCATTGATGCTATGGACTGGCCCGCCCGTTCCCCAGACCTGAATCCAATTGAGCACATCTGGGACATCATGTCTCGCTCCATCCACCAACGCCACGTTGCACCACAGACTGTCCAGGAGTTGGTGGATGCTTTAGTGCAGGTCTGGGAGGAGATCCCTCAGGAGACCATCCGCCACCTCATCAGGAGCATGCCCAGGCGTTGTAGGGAGGTCATACAGGCACGTGGAGGCCACACACACACACTACTGAGCCTCATTTTGACTTGTTTTACATTTACGTCATTTAGCAGACGCTCTTATCCAGAGTTTTAAGGACATTACATCAAAGTTGGATCAGCCTGTAGTGTGGTTTTCCACTTTCATTTTGAGGGGGACTCCAAATCCAGACCTCCATGGGTTGATAAATTTGATTTCCATTGATAATTTTTGTGTGATTTTGTTGTCAGCACATTCAACTATGTAAAGAAAAAAGTATTTAATAAGATTATTTCATTCATTCAGATCTAGGATGTGTTAGTTTAGTGTTCCCTTAATTTTTTTTGAGCAGTGTATATAGCCAAGTTATCATTTCTCATTGTATCTATTACTTTTAGTGTTTTGCTTTATTTCTTTTTCGCTCTGCATTGTTGGGAAGGGTCCGTAAGTAAGCATTTCACTGTTAGTCCACACCTGTTCTTTACGAAGCATGTGACAAAATTTGATGGCAAGCCATTTGAGAAAGCCAAAAGAAACAAGGCCAAATCAGCGGGTGCAGTTCCCCTTTAACGCTGCCAAAAAAAAGACACTATTGGCTCTAGTCTTCCAAACTTTGACCCTTCCTTGAGGGTTGCTTACATTAAGTAAAAGCCAAGTGTCAGTCTTGAATATACTTCCCTGTGTATTTTCAGAAAATTTTGGAGCACAGAGTTCTTGTTGATTTTAAGTAGGAAGTTACCTCACTGTGTATGATGTAATGTTGCCAAGTCTACCTTTTTTGTTTGTTCAAGTACTAATAAAATGGCATTTAGGACAACTTAATAACAAGGAAAACTTTAATTGCATTACAATTTACAACAAACCTGATTGTGAAAGTTCACAGGCAGCAAAGTACAAAACGATTATCACAATGTACCTGTATAAAAAAACCAAAAAAAAACATTCAATCTCCAGAGGTGAATACACCTTATTGTTAGTTGGAACTCAGACAATATACACTCACCAGCCAGTTTTAGGTACACCACCCTGTTCACGAAAATGGATGGCTCCTACAGACAGTCACGTGGCCTGCTATATTAAGCAGGCATTCAGTTACTGTTTGATTTAACGTTAGAATGGGAAAAACAAGTGACCTAAGCGACTGAGCGTGGTATGATCATTGGTGCCAGGCGCGCCGGATCCAGTATCTCCGAATCAGCCGCCCTCCTGGGCTTTTCACGCACAACAGTGTCTAGGGTTTACCGAGAATGGTGCAACAAACAAAAAAACATCCAGTCAGCAGCAGTCCTGTGGGCGAAAACAGCTCGTTGATGACAGGTCGAAGGAGAATGGCAAGAATCGTGCAAGCTAACAGGCGTGCCACAAACAGACAAATAACGACGCAGTACAACTTGTGTTCAGAACTGCATCTCCTTGTCACAGATGGTCTATTGCAGCAGACGCCCACACCGGGTTCAGTGGGCACGCCAAAAAACAAAAATAATCAATAGGTGTGGGGAATGTTTTCCTGGCACACGTTAGGTCCCTTGATACCAATTGAACAAACGTTTGACACCTTGTAGAATCCATGTCCTAAAGAATTCAGGCTGTTCTGGAGGCAAAGAGGGGTCCGACCCAGTACTAGATGGATATACCTAATAAACTGGCCAATGAGTATACAGTACATGTAAGAGCAACAAGCAGGTAAGACAGACACTATTGACCTATTCCTTTCTTCCATATTCTTGAGCCCTCAAGACAGAACTCTCAACATCACCCAGAAGTTGAATGCACCAATTTGTAAGTCGCTCTGGATAAGGGCGTCTGCTAAATGACTTAAATGTAAATTAGACGACACAAAATGTCTGCCACAAAACAATTGGCGAAGTGCATACAAATAAGTCTTCAATTTACCCTTCTTCCATTGAGTCCGTTTTGTGTTCCAGAGAGTCATGGCCATAGTGAGACAGCACCATATGTAGGGGCAGTGGGGCCAGGCTGTACCCGATTCTCCACCCACCTCCTAAAGTGTGCACCTCCACCTTCCCCGTCATGGATTTAGCAATGGCAGAAACATCCTCCAGCTAATGATTACACCAATCCAATGCTTTTAAATCCATGACTGAGTGTGCGAGTGCACACTAGTAGTAGAGTAGACTCTGGATGCAAGCAGTGCTGTGTTCTGACAGACAGACGTGCTACTGGGCCTGGAGCCTTCTCCTCGTCGTCTGGTCCACCAGTTTGTGATAGTCATTCAGCTTGTCCTGCAGTTTCTTGTACATCTGAGAGGGAGAGGACAAGTAATGAGAGGAGCATGGTGGTGCGTTTTAACTTTTAAACTGAGGACAAAGTCATGTCAGGTTTGATGTCAGCACAGGTTGTCAAACAGATTTCAAAAATAGTATTTTGAATGGACTTACACTGGCGTTGGTCTGGGTCTTGTTGAGTGACTGGAGGAGCTGGTCGATGGACGTGTATGGGAGCCACACCAACGGTGCTGTGGCCGAAAGGGGCCTCTGTACAACACAGCATTACCAGAAAGAAACACTTAAAGGACAAACATTTGACTTTTCAATCCCTATTACATTTACATTTTAGACCCTTATCTAGAGATGAGAATCAAGTGTATTCAACTCAAATGTATTTATAAAGCCCTTTTTAGATTAGCAGATGTCAAAGTGCTATAAAGAAACCCAGCCTAAAACCCCAAACAGCAAGCAAAGCATGTAGAAGCACGGTGGCTAGGAAAAACTCCCTAGAAAGGCAGGAACCTAGGAAGAAACCTTGAGAGGAACCAGGCTCTGAGGGGTGGCCAGTCCTCTTCTGGCTGTGCCATGTGGATATTATAAGAGTACATGGCCATTAAGGCCAGATTGTAAGATGGGTAAAACAACCACACATCCTAAACATGGAAGTGATGTACAAAACATTAGGAACACCTTCCTAATATTGAGTTGCACCCCCTTTTGCCCTCAGAACAACCTCAATTCGTCGGGGCATGGATTCTACAAGGTGTCGAAAGCGTTCCACAGGGATGCTGTCCCATGTTGACTCCAATGCTTCCCACAGTTGTGTCAAGTTGACTGGATGTCCTTTGGGTGGTGGACCATTCTTGATACACACGGGAAACGGTTGAGCGTGAAAAACCAAACAGCGTTGCAGTTCTTGACACACTCAAACCGGTGCGCCTGGCACCTATTACCATATCCCGTTCAAAGGCACTTAAATCTTTTGTCTTGCCCATTCACCCTCTGAATGGCACACATACACAATCCATGTCTTAATTGTTTCAAGGCTTAGAAATCCTTCTTTCTCCTCCCCTTCATCTACACTGATTGAAGTGGATTTAACAAGTGACATCAATAAGGGATCATAGCGTTCACCTTGCCAGTCTATGTCATGGAAAGAGCAGGTGTTCCTAATGTTTTGTACACTCAGTGTATAGTGTACCTCGATGCCAAAGTACTGGTGTCCCTTCCCCAGGAGGGCGTCTACATACTCCAAAACCAGCTCAGCTGCTGCCTCCAGCAGGTCATAGTTCAGGTAGAGCCTTAACAACGCTGCAGCGTCCACCCCCTGACAAAACAAGCTTGTGTTATCATACACAGGGAGCAAATGCAACTACAAAAAGGTACATTTATGGACTCCATTTAATTCATTTCTAGGTGTCCTTCTCGGAAAATGTGTATTGTATTTAGTGTAATGTAAATGCATACATCAATATTTGCACAAATACTATGCTCTCTCACCTTGAAGGCATTGACCAGCCAGTCGGGCAGCGGTACGCCATGTGACAGCAGCTTGTTGAGGACACAGCGATGGTGCTGAGCATTCTGGGTAGGGTGCTTCTCCAGGTAGGAGGCCAGAAGGCGCCAAGCCTCGTCTGTCGCACTGGAGGAAAAAAATATATGTTTTTTTACTCACACGATTTCACTTCTATTTTTATTGCATTGTTTTTAATATTCCCAACAGCACCACAAGGTGGACAATGTGGTATTTTCTAGCCAATTTGTACCATGAAGAGGTCATAATTGAACCAACCTTGATTGTTTGGTTGTGATGATGGTAGACAGCTGATTGGCAGCCAGCCAGTTCCAGGCTCCATTCTGTTTCTCCTCTCCACCATACTGTAACTTTATACACCTGGAAATACAAAAAGGTGGATATTTGTAGAAACACAAAAGAAAATGTAGGGAGACATTTTTTTAAACACTGCCAGCATCACCACAAACAGGAAGAAACCCCCTGTATCTACATTAGTTAGTTAGGACAAGGCAAGACTAATTACTTTGGTGTGATCACTACAGGCTGAATACCAACGCTACAGGCTGAATACCAACGCTACAGGCTGAATACTAACTGCATGCATAATTAGGAAATTCACGTCAATCATGCTTTGTCAACGAGGGATATGCGCATAAATTCAAGTCCATCTGTGCAGTTGACTCTGCCCTAACAGCCTGTTACTTACTTGAAGGCAAGTCCCTCGAAGATGGAAGTGAGGGAGAGTTTGAAGGTCTGGCAGAGAGAGAGGGCACAGTCGAACAGTCCTGATTGGACCAGTAGGGACACCATCTCCACTGCAGAGGCGCTGCCTGCAACACCACACACAGACCGACAGATAGTACTGTGTTACATTTCTGGTGTTGTGAATTTGTTTCCTTACAGGAATAATGTTCTGCCCTTTAAATTATCATCACATTAAGAGGTATCAAGGCAAACAATCATTGGTGATAGCTTACTGACAAGTCACCTTTCATTCACTTTTGGGAATATGTTACCTGCGATGGCAGCGGAGGGTGGGTGGTGCTGGGCCAGAGTGAGGCGGCTACGGGCCAGGGCGTACTCCTTCTGAAGGTCCTTCAGCTCCAGGATGTCTATCTGACCACTCACTGCAGTGACACAGACATACAATTACAATACTGTACAACTTAGAGCCTGTCATCATACACATTTCACACCGCTTACCAAACAAATAGTGGTGTAAAGATGGTAATGAACAAACATTTACAGAGGTAATTATAATAATCACAAATCGATATCTATGCCTATAGTGGCTCACCTGGACCAGTAGCAAACTCTCCATCGTAGTTCCTCTTTGGTGATGCGGCGGGCCTCTCATACACCGCTCCAGAGGAGGGTTGGACGATCCAGGCGTAGTCAGGTCTAATGAGTCGTAGACAGTTGAGGGAGGCCAGGCAACAGTTGACCTGTTTCTGTAGACCGAGCTGTGTCCTTACCTCCCGGCCCAGACGCATGCCGTACTCAAACATCACCGTACCCGCTGGAGGACAGAACACACACACAGGGACAAACACACACATACAAAAATAAAAGGAACACACACAAAATGGAGAGTGCGTAAAAAGAAATACCGCCACCCTCATTTCCAAACAAAGTGCTAACATCTGACAGAAAGAGTCCCAGGCTCCTCTCACCTTTCCTGTAGTTGTGTCTGTTGATGTGGAAGGCGTAGAGCAGTTCGTAGTAGTTGTGGGACATCAGGTCCACTGCTCTGGCTCTGGACTCTATGATGCTGACCACCTGCAGCCAGAGAAAGAAACAAGAGGAGGGTCAAACACTTCATCTGATTGATCTAATACAATTATATAGTCCATAATGCGCTCTACTGGGCTCTAACCAAATGTAAAGAGAAAGTAAGTGTGTCTACCTCGTCGTGCAGGTTGACGTAGGAGAACTGGACCAGGTCCTGGAGCTGAGAACGCTCACACAGAACCACTACAAGCTGACGCAAACAGTCTAACTGGCTGCTGGAGTCAGGGTTCTGTGTGAGGGCTTCGTAGGCTTGGCTGTTGTGTCCCAGGTCCAGGTGATGCTTGAAGATGCGGGTCCACAGGGCAGCCTGACTCATGGGGTCGTTGACAGCCTCTGTGATGGCCAGAGTGGCTAGATGGATGACCAGCTCTGGCAGACCAACATCCTCCAGCAACTGCAGCACCTAACACACACACTTGAGAATAAGTAAAACACTGTACCAAAAACCCCCACTAACATACACCACACGCATCCAGATTATTTTATTTGAAAGGGTTCATAGGGCGTGAGCAGCCGCCTACTTTTAAGAAATAATCCAAAAGAGCATGTTATTCATTATCTAAAGAACGGGTTCCAATAGTAACCTTGTTGTAGTACTGTAGTCTCGGTGCAGCCGCAGCCTCCCCCTCAGCTCCTGTCAATCTCAGAAGAAACTCCTCCTTCTCCACCTCTGTCGCCACCTCCTGGAAACACTGCAATGCCTGGACACAACATGCCACAAATGGGAGTAAAAAAAAACACCTACTGGTGCTGCTCGGTCACACCTGTGAAGCAACAACTCGTAGAGAAATATTTACATATTTCACGCTTTCAGCCACTACACCTTCAGTACTACTGCAACAACTCTTCCATAGTCATAATGGCACGTTGAAATGCAACCGCAACCCTTAAATGGAACTGACAGCATTTTAGCAACATTAAATCTTATTAAAATCTGTTCATATACACCCCCAGGAAGAATGACACTTTAACCATTTTATGACAAGCGAGCACTTAGTATACGTGAACTTGAAAATGACCATATCTAAGGCATTTGTGAAAGTTCTATAGCAATATAGAGTGGGAAAGCGGCCGTGCGTTTGGACAATTAACTACAGTAAATAAAACATCTGTCTCGTCCAGGATCAGAGTCTACACAGACCGGTGCGCCATAGCCAATCAGAGCTACAGTAGGCCTTTATTTGCCACACAGGCCTGCCATCATTCACTTTGAACTGGACTGTGTGTTTACAGGCAATTGCAACAGCGCGACTTTTGATCATTAGAACGTAGTCGGCAAAAGCCACAAAATACACCCGAATGGATTTCTGCAAATATGTCAATACCACTTGGGAGTCCTCTTACATTTGGGAACTTTACAGTCTCATTGATCAAACAACCATACAAAAAGGTAGGCTCGCTCTCCCTCAGTTATGCACATCAACAAAAATATCAACTAATGCTAGCCAGAGAATGATGAGCTAACATCTAACGAAGGAACATTAGATACACCCTCTCAAACTTTTTCAGCTAGTTGGCCGTCAAAATTGCACTGAAACGATAGGGAATTGTAGCCTATTCGTCCTTCTGCAGCTTTCCTGCCAACAATGCATGCTTGTCCCAACCAAGCACCCAATGCTAACTGGCTAAAGTTGGCTAGCTAGCTAGCTACTTCCAGACATAAATGAGAGAACACCTTACTCTGAATTTGCGAACGCAAGAGATATGCTAACTGGATAACAGTCGTTCAAGTTCTTGCTAGCTAACCAAATGACACCTGCATCACGCACCCACTCCTCCAATGACATGACATCTTCCAAGCAGCTAGCTAGCTAATGTTCTGTGTTTTTAGCTTGCTACATAAAGACACGATAGCCTTTTAGCCATGTTATGACTGACTTGTGATCGCCCTTTTTAGTTTGATTGTATTGTCATTCCCAGCCTTTGTTACATTCGTCCAAAATATTGAGCCATTTAAACAGTGCATCCCGAATGGAGGCAGCAAACATTGTACCAGGCCAGCTGTGATTTACAACCTGATAGCAATATTATTTTGACTACCAAGAAATGTATTGGTGAATTATAGCTATAGTGGTCCTCTGTAGCTCAATTGGTAGAGCATGGCGCTTGTAACGCCAGGGTAGTGGGTTCGATCCCCGGGACCACCCATACGCAAAAATGTATGCACACATGACTAAGTCGCTTTGGATAAAAGCGTCTGCTAAATGGCATATTATTTATTATCATTATAGACTGAACCAAAATATAAAAGCAACATGTAAAGTGTTGGTCCCATGTTTCATGAGCTGAAATAAAAGATCCCAGAAATGTTCCATATGCACAAAAAGCTAATTTCTCTCAAATTTTGTGCACAAATTTGTTTACATCCCTGTTAGTGAGCATTTCTACTTTGACAAGATAATCCATCCACCTGACAGGTGTGGCATATGAAGAAGCTGATTAAACAGCATGATCATTACACAGGTGCACCTTGTGCTGGGGACAATAAAATGGCCACTAAAATGTGCAGTTTCTTTTCACAACACAATGCCACAGATGTCTCAAGTTGAGGGAGCATGCAATTGGCATACTGACTGCAGGAATGTCCACCAGAACTGTTGCCAGAGATCTGAACGTTAATGTCATTTTAGAGAATTTGGCAGTACGTCCAACCGGCCTCACAACCGCAGACCACGTGTAATCAAGCCAGCCCAGGACCTCACATCAAGCTTCTTTACCTGCGGGATCGTCTGAGACCAGCCACCCGGACAGCTGATGAAACTGAGTAGTATTTTCGGTCTGTAATAAAGTCCTTCTGTGGGAAAATAACTCCTGATTGGCTGGGCCTGGCTCCCCAGTGGGTGGGTCTACTGAATTAATTTCAATTGACTGATTTCCTTATATGAACTGTAACTCAGTAAAATCGTTGAAATTGTTGCATGTTGCGTTTATATTTTTGTTCAGTATATTAATCATGCATTGAACTGCATTAATCTATTCTGCCAACAATGCCTTAGTGTACGTCATGGAATGTTGAGGCAAATATAACCTATTTTCAAAACCTCTTATAAAGTTGGTTTTGTAGCATAGACTGGGAATATTATATTTTTGACTGATATGATTGTTTCATATCTGATAAGTAGTTAAAACGCTGTCAGCTCCACTTTAAAAACACACCTTCTGTCCCTCTCCATTGGCCAGGTAACACTGTCCCAGCATGAAGCGGCAGGAGCCCACGTTAACCTGACACCACGGCCGAATGAGACGCACATACTCCTGGAGAGAAAAGGAGAGGTTAAAAAAGTACTCTATTTAAAAATGCATCAGTTGGCTTTTTAATTAAGTCTGCTTTGGGGTTCAATCAATAAATATATCTATTGTTCCAATTGGGAAATTGTTTACGCAGTCAAGGTTAAAAAAACAACAACCATGATCCAACACAAATAGTGTGTGAGAGGGTTGTTGAGTCCGTGGGAAGTGTCTCACCTGTAGTTGTGTGTACTGGCAGTTGCCCATCAGACACTCAGGGAACTGGAAGCCAAGGTTGTTGGGCCAGCTATAGAGATAGTGTTAAGGGCCAACCTTGACATTATTTACAGTACACCTCATTGCAACCCTCTAAGGTTAATAGTCAAATCGTTGCCTAAACACATACAATTTAGTTTAGCCTAGCTTTAATAGCATAGCATGTGCTAGCCATGTGGTGCGTAATAACAACCTTGCCTAAAGCATATTAACTCTAGCCTCGACAAGCCTAGCCGTGTAGGAGGACAGGAATAACCTTGCCTAAATATCAATTTTAGGGCTCACTTAACCTAATGTAAAATATGCCAGCCGTGTAAATAACCTTTCCTAGGGAAACATATCAACTCTTGCTTAGCCAAGCACAGTCATGTGTGTAGTAGGATACAGTTGCTGAGCCAGTAGGGTGACTAAACTGGAGACCATGCGGGGCCAGTGGAGCAGGGCTGTGCCCGGGGAGGGGCTGTGCTGCCGGGAGTAGATCTGGCTAATGATGGCCTTTCGCGCTACGCTCTGGTAGAACAGCTCCACCACCGTCTGGGGGCTCAGGACTGAGGGGGAAGGAAAACAGAGTTGGATACAGGGATGTGATCAGGACAATATAGACAATCAGGAAATGTCTGACAAAAGTATGATATTGGTTTGGGTTAGCTAGGCATATTTCAATGATGTATGAATAGAGGGCAATGTCAGAAGAATTCCTGATTAAACAGGAAAAAACAGTTGTCGCTTAGAGAGAGGCTTGAAGTCAACATTTAGGCTACACATAGGCACTGACCTGATCTGTTGCTGGCCATAGCAGGAGAATCAGACAGGTCCAGGACAGACAGGTGCTGTAGGTTGGCATCTCTGGAGGGAGAACACAATAAATGTCAACCAGACTGAATTCAATACGTTGCGTTGTATCTGCTGTGTGTTGTGTGTGTACGTACATGATGTGGAGGGCCACGGTGGTGGTCAGGCTCTGGGTGATGTGTTTGAGGAGATAGTAGGAGGAGAGAAGCTGAGAGGAGCGGGGGATCAGGTCCTGTTGTAACTGGAGCAGCTGAGCCCCTCCACCCAGGAACACCTGGAGAACACACACACAGTTAAGTAAAAAGAGCAGACTGACATGGGCGTGTGTGTGATGTAGGGGCGGACCCCATTAAGTCGACTGGTCGATTGTTTGGTCGATAGGCTGTTGGTCGATAGGCTGTTGGTCGATAGGCTGTTGGTCGACCAAGATTTCTTTAGTCGAGCAGTAACAAAAAACAATTATTTTCATGGTGTACAAGACACCTGTCTGAGTGGCGCCTGTCTGAGTGGACTAATCTATTGTGGAGGCCGTGGAGATGGCAGTCCATCACCAAGACATGCGCTATTGTATAAGGGTATATTACCTAAGAACAATGGTGCAACACTAGCACAAATATTTTATAACAAATGCACTTTCTCCCGCATTGGATAGTAGTCGCTGTCCACGGTTCTGAAACATCAACGTGCCGTTGAATTGGAGCCTTTTCCTAGACCATGTTGCTATGTGCATAACAGCAAAGTTACCCAGCATATTGGTGTTAAGAACAATGCGGCGGAGGCAGCAGCGGAGTTAAGAGAAGAGAAAACAGCACTTGCCTTAATTGTCTAAGAAAAGTGAGGAGAGAGGAAACGCCAACTACTGTATCAATCATTCATTCGTTAATGTCATCACACAGCATATGAATTTGTGTATTTTTATGCATATGTGTCACGTAAAGAGAGCAAAGGTTGAGGGAATAGGGAATGTTTTTCCTAAACAAATGAGGGATTTTGGTAACAGAATTCTCAGTCAGAAATGGCTGTAATTATGTTGCAGCTTCAGCGCCACGGACAGCGCGATAAACACTTTGATGTTCTGTGGTGTTCGCTGCAGCAGGGAGGAGAGGGAGACAGTAGGTGCTGTTCACAGCCACTCGCTGTCATTATCTTTTAACACAGCGCAGCAAGTCTTAGCCCGGCCCGGCACAATCAAATCAATTGCGGTCAGACTCCCTCTAGCCATTTGTGCGTCTTAATTATTTCATCAAACAGTGCACTTAAAGCATCAGACAAGCTCAGTGCATATAGTTGATTTGATGAAAACACATAGGATGTCTATATATGGAAAAAAAAGTTGTAACATTTCTACCAATCGATTGACGACTCTGTCGACCACGATTTTTTTTTGTCGGGGTCAACCATAGTGTGATGCGTTTGTATTTCTGTCTCAGTGTGCGTACTTACATTGTCTCCTAGGCGTAGGTAGAGCTGCTGCAGTATGAGCAGGTCCCTACAGAACAGGACTCTGGTCATGGCCATCTGACAGACAGCCTGACACACCACAGCCACCGCTACACTGCTTCCATACAGCTGGGATAGACTGATCCGCACCGACAGGGACTGGCCTGCTGGAGCACACACACGCGAGACAGACGCGCGAGACAGACACAGACAGACACACACACACACACACACACACACAGGTCAAACACACGATCTCACACACACATCAGTTTAAACCGGTCCGTTTTCATTTGAAGGTCTGTCTGACCGCAGTTTGAACACAGACTGAGCTCAAACAGCATTCAGTTTAAATTTCTTCTCAAATAACAAGAAAACCTAAACTTACCAGTCAATAAAACAGGCACCATATAGCATTATCTAGGGCTAATATGTGTTGATATATATTAGCCATGGTATAGCGTGGTAGGTATAGCATGGTAAAATATTATATAGGCCTTACCTGTGGTGAGAGACCCCTCGCCTCCTGGCTCCGAGTCAGTCTCCAGGTCCATCTCTCTGATCAGCACGGCCATGGCTGCCACCGGGTTACGGATGTCTTGTAGTTTGTTATGGATGTCCTCTATCACATTCTCACTACGATGGGAATGAAAGATACATAACAGTCAGTCACAAAACACGGTAATGCCTACATGTGAATGACCCATAGGAGGTCAAGAACGTTTGTTGGTTATTTTTCCAATTCATTAATTGACTTTCAAATTGGCCTCCATAGACAGTACATAGTCATTTTCAAAAACTGTTGAGGTGTGTGTACTGACTTGTCGTTGGCCAGTAGGTTCTCCAGCACCATCTCTGCAGCCCTCTCCGGTGACTGGAGATGTTCCAGGGCCTTCTCCATCTCGTAGGCCATGTCTCCCGGCACCGCGTCACTCACCAGCCTCAGACACTGCACCAGCTGCAGCACGTCACGACCAACCTCTGGGTCTGGACATAGGGAAACATGGTACGAGGAGAAACTGGGATGAGTTAGGGAGCCCCGCAGAGCCAAAATGGCAAACAATGTCTACCTTTTCAACAAGGAGAAACACATTCACATGGAGCCACTTAGAGCCATAATGGCTACATTGGCCACACTTGACAAAACCTCAGTAGGTAAAGAGCTCTCTGGATCTAAAATAGCTACTATACATTCTCAGTAGACACAGATAAATGAGAGGTCTTTACCCTCAGCCAAAGGTGTCTCTTCCTCTGAGAACAGGTACTCATCAAAAGACAGGTACAGGTGGTCCACAGCAAAGCAGGGCACCAGGAATGACACAAAGCCCTGGATCAAACACAGTCACTTATTGACTGCAATCCAGCAAAATTATTCTAATATGAAACATAAAAAGAGTATATGTTTTAAATGACCAGGTTTCCTATGTCCCCTTTTGGGTCACATGGTCCCAAATCAACTAAACGTATGCAAGAAGTTAGTGCAATGTAGTCTCTCTTCCATCCCGTACCTTCTTGAGCACACAGACCATGTGTGTATGTGGGTTGAGCAGCAGGCCCAGCGGTGTGGCCAGAGCCTCCTGGTATTGCAGACAGCAGGCGTAGAACTTGGACCAGAACTCCACCTGTAGCTGCCTGTACTCCTCCTGGCTGAACTCAAACTCAGTCACACTGCTCTGCAGCTAAAGGGGGAGAGATAGTCATACATCTAGGAAACGCAGCAGTGTCAGAAGGAGATTGTGTGTGTGTGTGTGTGTGTGTGAGTCAGAGGGGGAGAGAGAATACGCAGAAAGCAGGGAGTCTGGTCTAGCTTACCTCCTTCTCCACGGCCACCGTCACCTCTTTCTTGAGGGTCTCCCAGGGGAGATCAGTGATTCGCTCTGTGCCTCTCCTGTAAATCTGAAGGGCTTTGACTATAGCGGAGGCAGTGAATCTCAGGGAGGAGAAGAGCATGTCCAGGTAGGTCTCCTGTCATAACACAAGAGGACAAATTAGCTTGATTATAAAATCTAGTGTTTTTCTGATATGGGTAGGCACAATATGGAATAGGAGGATACTGATCAATTGCAATGAAGTTTGGATAGTGGGCGATGTCATCAAATCAGGTTCTGATTAAATCAGTTCATTTAATTAAAATCGGATTAATCAATTCAAATCCCATTTGATATCAGTGATGAATGATGTGGTGTTGTCTTACCCTGGGGTCCTGGTCTGCGCCGATGTGGACCTCTTCCTCAGGGGCAGGCTGCACAAACACCTGGTTCCACTGACCTGCCGTGGAACTGTGATGTCACAATGGAGGTAAGCAGAGTAGGAGTGTGAAATGGACAGCAAAACAAATTCAATGTTTTTTATTTTTTATTTAACCTTTATTTAACTGTTACCGCCCTCCAGTAACCTTTATTTAATGTTACAGATCATCTCTTGATATATAGGCATATAAGTCCATTACACTATCCAAAGGATAGTCTAAACAGCGTGTCATACTCACTGTTCGAAGTTGATGTATTTCACCACGGTTTGGTTGCTGTCGTCCAGCCACAGGCCCCAGATGGCCGTAGAAGTGAGAGCAAAGTCTACCAGTGTCTCCTGATCACACCACACACAGGAGAGGAGTCAGGCTGACAACACATTATATTTCTGAGATGAGACTTTCCACTACCTAACACACACAAACAATATCAAAATCCCAGACATTCTAAACCGACACACATTCTTCCCCAAAGACAACCCCTACTCACACACCCCCCCCCACACCTTTCCTCCATGTACCTGTGTGGCAAACAGCGAGGAGATGTGGTCCAGGCTGTAGCAGTTGTTGTCTGTGGCCACCAGCTGCAGCACAGTGAACTGTCCCCTGGAAGGCACGGCCAGGTAGACTGCCAGACACAGCCCCGTGGAGGAGAAGGCTAGCCGCAGCCGATGGCCCTGTCCTGGGGAACGCTTCACCCCCCGGCACGCCGGCATGTATTCCAACATGTCAGCCTCCATCAGACATGCCTGGCCCTGTAGGGGGAGGGAGGGGGAAGAACGGACTTCTCATGTTAGCAAAACCTGTTTCAGTTCCAATTTTTGTATTATTCATTTTGTTGATATCCAGGTTAATATTCCTCAACATGTAATCAATTATGCTTACTTTTAGATCCAAATGAAAAAGTTTAACATCCTTCCTCTAAAGGACATTTCTTGGCACTGCTACATCCATTTGCGATATTACAACAAAGACGTTACTTTGAAAACAACTAACGCTGTTTTATTCCCTCGGACATCATTGCACACGCGATATGAAAAAGTATTTGCCCCCTTTCTAATATTCTCTACTTTTGCATATTTGTGATACTGAATGTTATCAGATCTTCAACCAAAACCTAATATTAGATAAAGGGAACATAAGTGAACAAATAACACAACAATTACATATTTATTTCATAAACAAAGTTATGCAACACCCAATTCCCCTGTGTGAAAAAGTAATTGCCCCCTTACACTCAATAACTGGTTGTGCCACCTTCAGCTGCAATGACTCCAACCAAATGCTTCGTGTAGTTGATCAGTCTCTCACGTCGCTGTGGAGGAATTTTTGCCCACTCTTCTATGCAGAACTGCTTTAACTGAGTGACGTGTGGGTTTTCAAGCATGAACTGCTCGTTTCAAGTCCTGCCACAACATCTCAATTGGGATTAGGTCTGGACTTTGACTAGGCCATTCCAAAACTTCCAATTTGTTGCTTTTTAGCAATTTTCATGTAGACTTGATTGTGTGTTTTGGATCATTGTCTTGCTGCATGACCCAGCTGCGCTTCAGCTTCAGCTCACAGACGGATGGTCTGACATTCTCCTGTAGAATTCTCTGATACAGAGCAGAATTCATGGTTCCTTCTATTAAGGCAAGTCATCCAGGTCCTGAGGCAGCAAAGCATCCCCAAACCATCACACCACCACCACCATGCTTGACCTTTGGTATGATGTTCTTACTGTGGAATGCAGAGTTTGGTTTTCGCCAGGCAATACTGGAACCATGTCATCCAAAAAGTTATACTTTTGAATCATCTGTCCATAGAACCTTCTTCCAAGAGTCTTGATGATCATCCAGGTGCTTTTTGGCAAAACTTGAGTCAACTTTTTGGACGAGATGGGTCCCATTATGTCTGCCGAAAACCAAACACTGCATTCCACAGTAAGAACATCATACCAAAGGTCAAGCATGGTGGTGGTGGTGTGATGCTTTGGGGATGCTTTGCTGCCTCAGGACCTGGACGACTTGCCTTAATAGAAGAAACCATGAATTCTGCTCTGTATCAGAGAATTCTACAGAAGAATGTCAGACCATCCGTCTGTGAGCTGAAGCTGAAGCGCAGCTGGGTCATGCAGCAAGACAATGATCCAAAACACACAATCAAGTCTACATGAAAATTGCTAAAAAGCAACAAATTGGAAGTTTTGGAATGGCCTAGTCAAAGACCAGACCTAATCCCAATTGAGATGTTGTAGCAGGACTTGAAACGAGCAGTTCATGCTTGAAAACCCACACGTCACTGAGTTAAAGCAGTTCTGCATGGAAGTGGGCCAAAATTCCTCCACAGCGATTTGTGAGACTGACTAACAACTACAGGATGCATTTGGTTGGAGTCATTGTAGCTTAAGGTGGCACAACAAGTTAGAGTGTAAGGGGGCAATTACTTTTTCACACAGGGGAATTGGGTGTGGCATAACTTTATGAAATAAATATGTAATTGTTGTGTTATTTGTTCACTTATGTTCCCTTTATCTAATATTAGGTTTTGGTTGAAGATCTGATAACATTCAGTATCACAAATATGCAAAAGTAGAGAAAATTAGAAAGGGGGCAAATACTTTTTCATAGCACTGCATGTACTAGGATTTATTTTGTTCTGTTTCTGGACGCTCATGTCCTTTTCTAAACCAAAACACAAAGTGCCTGGGGTAGACCAGTGGAACTTTCACCTTTCTCAGATTTAACAGCATGTCATGCTTCTGGACTACTGCTTATGCAGACTGACCACAGAATTCAATAGGACAGTATCTCTATGGGACTGACCCTATAGGACCACATGCGTAGTTTATGGTCCTGACACAGAGCCAAGATGAAGGTGTCGTCCTCCAGTTCCCTCACAGCCAGACTCAGGACCAGATCTCCAGGGCTCTGCTCACCTCTGGACGGGACACACAGGAGCACAGGGAGGGTTACACATACACACAAACAAAATAACCAGGGTTGGTTTACACAATGGGGGCGATTACACGGGCCCAGACTCAATCTATTAATGAAGTAAAAAAATATGTATTCTAACCTGATGGCAGTTGGCATCCAGCCAGCCAGTCTCTGCATCACAGAGCTTGTCTTCAGCTCCAGAATGGTCACGCTGGCCTGTGTGTCGTGTGGGGGCAGTGTGATGACGAGGATGCCCCCTGCGGGTGATGCCAGGGCGTAATGGGCCTCTCCCTGGTGGCTGAGCCAGGCTGCTGAGGCGGTGGGGCCTGCTGTCTGGCCCACAGGGCTGGGGATGACTGCGCTGTGGGACGGGTCTTGCAGACTCATTTTCCCTAGGTCTGTAAATATGGACTGCATCTGGAGCTCTGTCACCAGCTCCTGTAGAAGAGAGGTGAGGGAGGAAAAAGTATATTTGTATACAGCACAGTGTGTTGGGGAAAGGTTGTGTTGCGCTGTCCGTCAGAAAAGTAAGAACATTGTATATGTCATCCAATTAAAAACATAGAACGTTTCACACAAATCATTTCTCCCCACTCCACTGCAACCCTGCGTCAGACACACGATTCATGCATTTTGGTTTAGAAGCATCCTAAAGAGGGACTTACGCTGCGGAACATGCGTGTGGGGTGCGGCAGCACCAGCCGGTGCACAGTCTGGTTGGTGACGATGAGGAGGATGACATTGTTGAGGGTCTCCTGGATGTGTATGCCTCCAGGCAGCAGGGGGCAGTGTGTGATCTTGAGTTTAACAGCATTGTTCAGTAGGTTGGTGTCCAGAGACTGCTCCACCAGCTGCACCGTGTCCCCGGAGGTGGACCTGGAGAGAAGACATAGATGAGACAGCACGTCAATCCCAATAAAGGCCTCGGAGGTGTGTGTGTGTGGGTGATGCATGTCAAAACAATTCTGCATTGACACATGAAGGCTAGCCTGGATCAGTGCCAGCTGCATCGTATGGATTCTCAGTCTGGAAACTGTGTCACAGAACCCGTGTCACATACAGTGGTCCCTAGTGATGTTACGTTTGATACCGGAGCCCTGAGGCATGCGTCAGAATCGCTAAGCAGTTTACTTCAAAGCAGCGGTCCCTCAAGACTAGTCTAGGTCTAGGTCTACGACGCAGTCTAGCAAGACTAACGTCATAGAACACAGACTGGCTATGAATAGATAACATACCAGTGTTGATAAGAAATAAAAATCTGACCAAACAGAAACAAAAGAGTACATACAAATATATATATACATACAAATATTTATATACAAAAGTATGTAGACACGCCTTCAAATTAGTGGATTCGGCTGTTTCAGCCACACCCGTTGCTAACAGGTGTATAAAATAGAGCACACAGCCAATCGAGCACACAGTTTCCAATTCCCATAGACAAACATTGGCAGAAAAATGGCCTTACTGAAAAACTCAGTGACATTCAACGTGGCACCGTCATAGGATGCCACCTTTCCAACAAGTCAGTTCGTCAAATTTCTGCCCTGCTAGAGCTGCTCCGGTCAACTGTAAGTGCTGTTACTGTGAAGTGGAAACATCTAGGAGCAACAACGGCTCAGCCGCGAAGTGGTAGGCCACACAAGCTCACAGAACAGGACCACAGAGTGCTGAAGCACGTAAAAATCGTCGGTCCTCGGTTGCAACACTCACTACAGAGTTCCCAACTGCCTCTGGAAGCAACGTCAGCACACAAACTGTTTGCCGGGAGCTTCATGAAATTGGTTTCCATGGCCGAGCAGCCGCACACAAGCCTAAGATCACCATGCGCAATGCCAAGTGTCGTCGACTGGAGTGGCGTAAAGCTTGCCGCCATTGGACTCTGGAGCAGTGGAAACACGTTCTCTGGAGTGATGAGTCACACTTCACCATCTGGCAGTCTGACAGACGTATCTGTGTTTGGCGGATGCCAGGAGAACGATACCTGCCCTAATGCATAGTGCCAAGTTTGGTGGAGGAACAATAATGGTTCGGGCTAGGCCCCTTAGTTCCAGTGAAGGGGAATCCTAACGATACAGCATACAATGACATTCTAGACAATTCTGTACTTCCAACTTTTCCTGTTTCAGCTTGACAATGCCTCCGTGCACACAGCGAGGTCCATCCAGAAATGGTTTGTCGAGATCTGTGTGGAAGAACTTGACTGGCCTGCACAGAGCCCTGACCTCAACCCCAATAAACACCTTTGGGATGAATTGTAACGCTGACTGCGAGCCAGGCCTCACTAATACTTGTGGCTGAATGGAAGCAAGTCCCTGCAGCAATGTTCCAACATCTATTGGAAAGTCTTCCCAGAAGAGTGGAGGCTGTTATAGCAGCAAGGGGGGGGATCAACTCCATATTAATGCCCATGATTCTGGAATGGGATGTTCGACAAGCAGGTGTCCACATACTTTTGGTCATGTAGTGTATACAAAAACATACATAGCAAGCACAACTCACCAGCGTATGAATCTGTTGCTAGTGATGGACAGGAGTTTTCCACTTTCCTCATAGTGAAAGCCTCCTGCGCTATCTGGGTATATCACACCGCCAGCAAGAGCATTCAGACCTGTCGAGAAACCACACATGACCTCTGGTCAGTTCCAATAGAAGCTTGCCCATGGTGGCTTGGCTTGTTGACAGTCTCAAACTGTTTAAGTCTGACAGGTGGTTGACCACTTGCTAGGTTTGCACCATCACAACTCTGTCCAATAACTAAAAGACAGCTGTCAATAAATGAGTTAAATCAGATGTGTTAGAATGCATGTCACTATAAAACCAATTGTCTAGCATTGACTTTCAGGAACTGGAAACTAACGCTGTAAAAAGCGCAGACCGTGGAAAGCTGCTAACAAACTACACATGCACGAGGATACCGATAATTGAGAATGTTTTCGGCGTAAGGTGTGGCTAAGCGGGGTACCGTACCGATGGTTAACTTTGGTTTAGGTTGGCGCTCGGGGGGTAACAAAATCTTCCTGCAGAGGACACCGTTATCATACTAACTAGCGATCTAGCTAGTTAGCCACACGCCAGCTACATGATGTCAGTAGCTAGCATGCTAGCTAACCCGTTTAGCGCGCTAGCATGCATGGTGCGTCACTCACGACCTCATTGCATACATAGTTTGTCATATAAACCGTTCATATCAGCAAATAAAGAGCGGATGATTATTTTCATATTCATCAATATTTACCTAGGTTTACAGTTATCTCCCGGAATCTTGGTAGGGTTTCCCTCTCAAACCCACATATTTCTATGAAACTTCTTTCTAAGAACGCCGCCATCTTCCCCGCATTGAGTTGTGGGATTGACAAGGAAATGTACCGCCTTCGCTTCTTCTTCTTCTTCTTCTTCGATGAGGTTTAACGACAGTTGGCATCCAATAAATGTTGCATTACCGCCACCTACTAGACTGGAGTATAACTCCCTTATACTTTGCTTTGAAAAATTACAAATAAAACAAATACCCTACCATCTAATACTACACTCACAAAATAAAAATAAAAATAATAATAACTAATAAATACTCCACTATTTAAATATATTTATTCCTACTTCAGGCCAACACCCTGAAAGAATGTGACACCACCACTTAACACACCCTGTAACTCTGCTGATGTCAAGTCTCGCACACCCAAATACCTGCCACCACAACCTCTATTTTTTATGACTTACGTTCCATCCCTGCAGGATAGTTGATAACCATTGCTATAAATGCCAAAAATCCAATCTTACTGAAACATATATCACTTGTTGGTTTATCCCTCTGTACTGGTACAGATATGCTACTCACACCATTCCTCTCAGGATCCCTCCCCCTTGAACCATCTTCCTCTACTTTCTTCACTGCCTCAGCATATGACAACTTCTGCACTACTCTAACCCTGGAAACCTCAACCTGCCTTTCTCGCACCGGACATTTCGGATCCCCAGCCCCATGGGCACCCCTACAATTAACACATACCACTACTTTCCCCAATGCTACACATTCCTTTGTCTCATGCCCTTCTGCACTTCTCACACCTAGGAACCTCCCTCCTACACACTGCTGCCACATGCCCATAAGCTTGACATCTGTAACAACGTAATGTATTTGGCACAAAAGCTCGTACCGGATAACTTATATATCCTAACATCCCTTTGTCGGGCAAAGACTCAACATTAAAAGTCAAAGTAACAGACAATGACTCTTCTGTTTCTCCACTCACCCCACCCTGTCTGCGTCGCACCAAACAACGAGCATCACAAACACCGGGAATCTTCCCCTTCAGTTGGTCAGCTTTCACATTAACCGCTACCGAAGTAATCCCGCCTTTCAATGGCGCCTTTTTCTTGAGAGCGAAACAATTCACATTTCTTGCCCCCATTTGTTTAACACAGAGGGCCTGCTCCCTCTGACCAGCAGAAACACAAACAATTATCACAAGACCACTTCTGGTTACCCTCACCAATTTCACAGCACCCAACTCTGTTTTCACCCACCCTGAAACCGCACATGGATCAGCCAAAAGGCAAGGGTCCACTTTTTCCAAAAACTTCACTCCTACTGTCAGACTCATCTTTATCCTGACCCTCGGTGCTAGCCTCTGGCTCCGAGCACTTCACCACACCTACCACCTCCGATACTTCGCCCTCATTCACTTCCATTTCTCCTCCTGTCTTCAACTGACTCTGTCACACTTTCTACCATTCTTGTTTAACAAACCATCTCCCTTTTTTCCGCAATTTTAAACTGACTCAAGCTCACCCTCTTCCTCCCTCTCTCTCTTAAACCTCCTCTGCCTCTCTTTTTCCCTCCATTCCTCCACCGTATTCCAAGTATAACTCTCCTTATGATAGTCCTGCACTTCTCCTGATATACATCTAGTTCTTGCCTTGTCTAGGAACAACATTTCTCCTCCGACTCCCCCTACTCTTCCAATTTTCCCCAAGTCCAATAGGATAAATTGTACTGATTTCTTCATTATGTAGACCCTCAAACACTGAAGTCAGACATGTTTGTTTTCATGTGACGCACATCAATCCAGCTATGTCTTCTCTTCTGGCCTTTCAACATTTTAAAGCTGTATTAGCTAGCTTCTCCAGAGAGAACCTCTCTGGCTCGTATAAAACATAAGACCTATTCATTTAGCTACAGTAAAATAAAAATAGCTATTACATATTTCTACATGATTTTATTTTCAGGTACAGCTAGTATAATGATTAAGAAACATTTCACAAATAATTGTGATTTAGGACACTCAAATGTCCCAATTCGATGCTGTTAGAATATAAAATACAATAGAATAGAAAAGTTATTGTCGTGTGGTTCTGAGCCTTTGGCTTCACACTGACATTTACACCAACATCCAAGTATTTTCTGGATGTGTCAGAAGCGGTCAAAATGGGTCCCCTAATAGTTAATATTGTACATAAATGTACTCATTGGACAGAAAGAAGCACACCTCCCACCCACCCATAATATATTGTTGATCTAAAACTAATGGATTTGTGTGAGGACAGACGCTAGGAGACGAGCAGCAAGTACAGGGAGTGAGCATTGAATATAAACAGACATGCAACAAACCACGGACAGCGTCTGGACAGGGGAAACATAACAACATTAATGCTGACACGGGGATCACAACTGAGGAACAGACAGATATAGGAGAGGTAATTAAACAGTGATGAAGTCCAGGTGAGTCCAATGAAGCGCAGATGCGCGTAACGAAGGTGACAGGTTTGAGTAATGATGGGCAGCCTGGCGCCCTCGAGCGCAAGGGGGAGGGGGAGCAGGCGTGAGATTTGTGTGTTTTCAATTTTTCATGAGATTTAAAATGTATTACGTAATATTATGTAAATGAAATATACAGCATGAGTCAACATTAAAGACACAAGTTGAAGTCGCAAATTAACTGACTTCCATAGTGTTGAGCAGTCAAATCTGTCACAGTAAAGGGCAAACAGTTGTGACTGCTTATCACAAACATGCATAGTTAATGTCAAAATATCACATGAATGTACAGTATGATACAGTATACTAGGTCTATACAATGTCATATCAAAGTTTCAAATAAAAAAGACAAGGCTCAACTGTTTGCTGACATTGGTTGATTAACCTAAATTTATATTAATTTAAATTAATTTGACCTCATCAATCATTTTATTGAGCAGTACAGTAAAACTGTGGGCCAGTCTGGCTCGGACAAGGCTTACTTACATACAGTGCCTTCAGAAAGTATTCACACCCCTTGACCTTTTCCACATTTTGTTGTGTTACAGCCTGAATAGAACATTTATTACATTTAGATTTTTTATCACTAGCCGACACAAAATACCCAAAGTGGAATTATGTTTTTAGACATTTGTACAAATTAATTAAAAATGAAAAGCTAAAATGTCTTGAGTCAATAAGTATTCAATCCCTTTGTTATGGCAAGACTAAATAAGTTCAGGAGCAGTAGTACTTGACTTGGATAGGAGCTCACCGGAGCTGAGCACCGGCACCACCTCAAATCTCTATTGCTTGAGCTCCTGTTCCTCTTATAGAATATTAGCTCAGAAATATTGCTCCTGCACCTAAATATAAACAGTACGCACCAAAAATGAGTACTGCCACCTACTTCAGAACTTCCAAGCCTATTCACAATGATATTGGGATGGATGCTGATAGGGGAAACTTGCTGAATGATCAGATAAATGATAGTCAAAGCCTTTCTTTTAGGCTATTTACAGAAATAGAAGTCCTGGATGCTTTGCTAGCAGTAGACAACAAGTAATCCACAGGGGCCGACAAATTGGATCCTGGTCCGCTTAAGTGTGCAGCGCCCATCATTGTTGGCTCAATAACCCACATTTTTTAATTAACATTGTTATCAGGAAATATTCAAAAAGTATGGAAATCAGCTCATGCTGCCACTCAAGGACGGGGATAGTAGTGATCTTAATAATTATCATCCCATTTCAAGGCTTCCTTGTCTAGCTAAGATTCACGAATCCTTGGTAAAATGTACACTTGTACTTTGCATTTTTTTTATCTGAGAAATGTATTTTGAATGTAAATCAATCAGGGGTTTAGGTCTGGACTTAGCACTATTACAGCAACCACTTAAGTTGTTAATGATATTGTCAACGCTTGTTATGGATACAGGTATCCTGTATGTATATTTGTGTTTTTCCTCTCCTTCTGCCCTATTCACAGGTGTCCCTTGTGTTCCAGATTGGTGGTCGTTGGTGTGTCCCACCTGTCAGTCGTCAGTTCATCTGCTGATTGCTGAGGTGGACCAATCAGTGGACACTCCTCCTGACATACCTTTTTGATAGACAGACTACCTTCATTCCTTCATTCCTTCATACACCACATAGTCATAGCCCATACATCTCACTTTGTCCTGTTCCATGTATTACTGTGGTGTCTTGTTTGCTATTGTCTAGTCACTCGTTTGCTGTTTAGTCCCTATTTACCTATGTTGTTTGTTGGTGCCTGGGAAAAGGGGATTTTTTGCAAGTCACCCTTGGGCATACACTACCCGTAGGAAAACTTTGTCTAAAAACACTAGTTAGACCTGAGCGGACCACCCACTGTATTTTTGTATAGTTAGTAGCAAGCCAGCGGTTCTTGAGGCAGGCAGGATCAGTTTAGGGGTTTTTGAATTTATTATTTCATTCCTAGGGTCCAGCTCAGCCCCTTTTCCCCAAACCGTTTACCATGTGTTTAAAATAAACGTTTTGTGTTTGACGGTAGGATTGGTTGTCTGTGTATTTTGTTCTCAATGTTTCTTTTCACTATTCTAATTCGCATGAGTTATGTTACGGGTGTCTTTACCATCCAGCCTAGCTTTCGAAAACCACGGGGTTCGTAACAATGCTTTAGACACTAAAATGAAATGTGCTGCTTTGCTTGCGGACCTGTCAAAAGATTTTGATACTGTTGATCATGCTACTTTCTTGAATAAGTTGTCCTCGATAGGCCTGAGCTCTGACGCCTGTTCTTGGTTTCATGATTATCTTAGTGACAGAACTCAGGCCATCATGATGGATGGGGTTAAGTCAGAATTTCTTGAAGTACCACGGGTCGATTTTGGGACCTGTTCTCGTCACAATTTATATAAAATCAAATCAAATGTTATTTGTCACATACACGTGTTTAGCAGATGTTATTGCGGGTGTCGCAAAATGCTTGTGCTTCTAGCTCCGACAGTGCAGTAATATCTAACAAGTAATATCTAACAATTTCACAACATATACCCAATACACACAAATCTAAGTAAGGAATGGAATTTAAGAATATATATATGTATGGACAAGCAATGACAGAGTGGCATGGACTAAGATACAGTAGAATATTATATTATATTATATCTCCCGAGTGGCGCAGTGGTCTAAGGCACTGCATCGCAGTGTTAGTTGTGCCACTAGAGATCCTGGTTCGAATCCAGGCTCTGTCGTGACCGGGAGACCCATGTGGCGGCGCGCAATTGGCCCAGTGTCGTCTAGGGGAGGGAATGGCCGGCAGGGATGTAGCTCAGTTGATAGAGCATGGCGTTAGCAATGCCAGGGTTGTGGGTTAGATTCCCACATGGGGTATGAAAAAATTAAAATTAAAATAATGTATGCACTAACTGTAAGTCACTCTGGATAAGCACATCTGCTAAATGACTAAAATGTATATGAGATGAGTAATGCAAAATATGTAAACATTATTAAAGTGACTATTGTTCCTCTGTAGCTCAGCTGGTAGAGCACGGCGCTTGTAACGCCAAGGTAGTGGGTTCGATCCCCGGGACCACCCATACACAAAAATGTATGCACGCATGACTGTAAGTTGCTTTGGATAAAAGCGTCTGCTAAATGGCATATTATTTATTTAAAGTGGCCAGTGATTTCAATAGGCAGCCTCTAATGTGCTTGTGATGGCTATTTAACAGTCTGATGGCGAGATAGAAGCTGTTTTAAATTTTTCCGGTCCCAGCTTTGATGCACCTGTACTGACCTCGCCTTCTGGATAATAGCAGGGTGAAAGTTTATTTTTCATAAATGTTTTACAAATGTTAATTCTTCTTCCACTTTGACAGAGTATTTTGTGTAGATCGTTGACAAAAAAAGTACAATTAAATCAATTTTAATCCCACTTTGTAACACAATAAAATGTGGAAAAAGTCAAGGGTTGTGAATACCTTCTGAAGACACTATAGTTACTTACCTACTTACTTACTTGTTTACTAACTAACCTAAATACTTACTAACTTATAGTAAAACTGTGACTAACATAATGTTATAACATTGCAGTAGTCATTTGAGGTGGTCTTACTAACCATTGGATACAGGCACCTGTCTCCACATTGTGGTATTTCACAGGCCTTGGGTATTTGCAAAAGATTAGATAGCATTTTCAAGGAATAGAGAAGTTTGGAAAGGCATACGCTACGCTTTTCAAACTTTTTCTGGTTGGTGTGAGAATTAGCCATATGTCATCGGGACAACATGCCTGCATCTTATCAGCAGAAAGGGGTGTGTCATTGTCATTACCAAACGGTCCATGAATGGATCATTTTCCAGTCAACTGCATTATATAAGGTGCAGTGGCTGGATCAGTGAACCAACTTCACTTCATTTCCCGAAAGGTAAGAGTGTTGTTCATGTGCTTTGCCTACTCTAGCTATGTCATGCAAGCTACATGTCTAGGATCTTAATTTGACCAGTTTATCACAGCAGGAAAATAGCCCTGCAGCAACAGGAAATGTGAATGATTGTGTGGATTATAAGTCATGTAATTGTTGATACATTTTTAGTTAGGGCAAATCAAGTCTGAAATGTTCAACAGAAAAGTAGAAATTCCAAACTTTAGAAGCCTTTTAAAAACTTGAATACACTACAAGTTTGCATTTCTGGCAACAACAGGCTGATCAAATTAAGATTCTACACCTGTACTACAGGAAAATTACAGTCAGTAAATTACTTTCTGTGGTGGTATTCAGAGTTATTGACAGTGTATAACCCGGCAGGTTGTTGACATGTCTGCATTGAAGTACACTCTGGGCCTTCTGGCCGTGCTTGTAGTGGCCACCTGGGCCGAGGAGGTGAGTAAAACTCTACTAACACCTAACTATTCATTATAAGGTGTTTGCTGATTTGTCAATGTCATTATTTCTCTCTCTGTCTTTGCTGCCATAGGAGCTCTCTGTCTCTGAGCTGCTGGAGAAGGCCAACAGGAATGTTGGTAAGACAGTTTTAAAATTGTGATATACAATACCCGCCAAACACTTTCAGATAACATTATGAGTGATATGAAATATTAAATAAAGATGTATTAGAAAAGAAAGTTCCATGATCGCATTGCTTTTTAGTCCAGTACTAGGCTTAATCAGTATCCGGGAAACTGATCCAAAGTGTCACACTTTGACATCCTGTCCTGTCCCATCCCTCCAGTGCATACCGCAACGAGCCCTTGATTGTTGATGACATCGCCTACGTCAACGAAGCTGAGAGGAACGCTGACCCCTGCACGTTCCGGCTGCATGTGGCCCAAGTCAGCGACGGCAAGGTCTATGTGCCCTATGTCATTGCCAACCAGTACTGTGAGTACCATGTCATAATGATACCTTATTTTACAGATGTAGGATATTAATTTGAGCTAGTTTGCTACAGCAGGAAAATAATCCTGCAGCAACAGCAAATGTGAATTATTATGTGGATTATAATTAACATCAAATAGACTACAAATGAAGATCCTACATCTGTACATGAGTCCCAAACTACTGTATAAGGTTATATAAGTAGACCATATAAGTAACATCTAATCATTACTGGCCATTAACTGTATTGTGTAGCAAGTTTCATGATACAGTAGTCGTTTTTTAACAGTATTTTTCTTGTCCCATCTGTGTGCTGCCAGCCACCAGGGAGCTGGAAGTCATTCAGCGTGGTCTGCAGTCCTTCGCCGGCTTCTCCTGCATCAACTTCGTCAAGCGCACCAATCACAGAGACTACTTGCACATCCAGTCCCAAAACGGGTACGTATACTATGGAATTACATATAGAATCGTAAGAGCTATGAATTATATGAGTATCTTTATGACGTACACAAACAGGCTGAGTTGGGACCAATTATTTATATAAACCCTGGATTGCTGATGCTATATATTGGCCACTAAGAGGCTTTGAAGGCACCGGTCGGCCATATTGGCACTCCCCAGTTGGAGCAGTCCTCAATAGGAATGATAGAATTCTAAACTATTTCAATGAAATATTTCAAAGACAAAATTACATGTATGCATTAAGGCATCTGTAATAGAATAAACGTGTCAAAGAAACAAATGTAGATATTAATAAATGCATTTCTATAGCTTCCAAAATCTTTTTTACATTAGAGGAGGAGTACCAAGATGGCTGCGCTGTGACTTCAATACAGCACCTAGTGTCAGTTATCCAGGGTTTATATACATCATTAGTTAGGAAAGTCCAGTGAGACATGAAACCGGATTATATGGCATGACACATTTATGGTAACAAATCAAAATCAAATCAAATTTTATTTGTCACATACAAGCGAAATGCTTGTGCTTCTAGCTCTGACAGTGCAGTAATATCTAACAGTGTGTGTGTCTGTGTTTGTGCGTGTGTGTGTGTGTGTGTGTTTGTGCAGGTCTGACAGAGACATTTAAATCAAATTGCACTGTTATAACTCTGTCCAACCCTCTCATGGCAGGTGCTGGTCCTACGTTGGTCGTTCTGGCAACGCCCAGGTTGTGTCGCTGAGCCGTTCTGGCTGTGTGTACCACGGCACCACCCAGCACGAGCTCCTCCATGCCCTGGGCTTCAACCACGAGCAGACCCGCAGCGACCGTGACAACCACATCCGGGTTCTCCTCCAGAACGTCCAGTCTGGTAGGATCCCTTTCTCTTTCCCATGTCCCCATATAACCATGTACATACACAGACATTCTATTATATTCAATGCTATTATATTCTATGCATGTGTACACGCATAGCCGCGGGAAGTAGGGGTGCTGCAGCACACCCTGATAAATATATGTAAAATATATATATATACTGTATATTATCCTAAATATATTCCTGTGGACATGTGTACACACACACACAAACATGTACAGTACATATACAGGCAAACACAAACACACTGTTGCATTAATCACCAACCGTTGCATTTATTTATTAGGGCAAGGTGAATCTAACGTATTCTCTCTCTTCCAGGCATGGAGCACAACTTCAACAAGATTGCCACCCTGAACCAGGGAACGGCCTATGACTACAACTCTGTCATGCAGTACCACAGGTTAGTCAACATCGTTTTACCACTTTCACATCAGTAGATGCTTAGTCAGTTGAGTAATTGTCAAACCAGCCTCATAAAATTCTAATTCTGTGCAGAGCCTGTGGTCTAGCAGTAAGACACCCGGCTTCAAGCCCATATCATTTTTTGTTGAATTGAACTTGATGTTCAATCCGATTCCCTGATCCACCCTTCCTACTGTCTCCACTTCATCTACCTGAACCCCTCTACTTCTAATCTGTCTAGATAAGCATAAAAACATGACCAAAAATATGATTACATGGTAAGCCTACCCCCACTCATCCCAAGTGTTCATGATGATGATGTGATGTGATTGTAGGTACGCCTTCTCCAAGAACAACCAGCCCACCATGGTTCCCATCCCCAACCAGAACGTGGAGATCGGCAATGCCTCCCAGATGAGCCAGAGCGACATCACCCGTCTCAACAGGCTGTACAACTGTTAAACAGACACCTTGTGTTTCTGTCCTCTCTCGTAAGGTAGTGTCGATGATTCAGTGTTGATATAAAAACACAGAATAAAGTTGAATAAACCTCCATGTAAAAATATACTGCATTTTTGTTTCATTATTTTAAATGTCTTCATATATTTTTTTACAGCGTGGATAAAAGTCCTGGGTTGAAATACTATTTGAAATCATATCAAATAACCTAGTTTAGCTGGGCTTGATTGAGAATGCGTGGCGCAATAGAACCAATGAAATACTCTCAAAACTGTAAACCCTGCCTACTGGGCACAATTGGGAGGCTAGAGCAAACACTCAAAGCATATGAAACATTTGAAATAGTATTTGAACCCAGGACTGGTAGATACAGCTGTTTGCACCAATCAAACTGTTGGACACCAGCCCTGCTCTATCACTAGGCTACTAGTCCTAACTGCAGTCAGTCCCAATGCTGACCACAAGGGGGCGACACATTACTACAGAGCATTGTCAGGAAAAGTCTACTCGCACAGGTGTCAAACTCATTCCACTGAGGGCGGCGGAGTGTCTGCAGGTTTTCGCTCCTCCCTTGTACTTGATTGATGAATTAAGGTCACAAATTAGTAAGGAACTCCCCACACCTGGTTGTCTAGGGCTTAATTGAAAGGAAAAAACTAAAACCTGCGTAAACTAGGTCCTCCATGGAATGAGTTTGACACCCCTGGTCTACTGTAATTACAAACAAGAGTTTAATGGCTGTCTGTATTCTGGCTTGGATCCCGACAGACATTCTTCACAAAAACCATTCTTCCATTGTGTGACCCAATCTACTTGAGAAACAGACACAGCCTAATTCAAAAGGTTTGGTATGAAATGCTAAGTAGAGTCGAAGTTAAATCTGATCAGTAGCGGTGTGTGGGTAAAATCACTGGAGAAGCCAAGTATCTCCCCCAAAATGCCATATTACAACATATGTGTTGTGATAATTGCATTGTTTTCACTATAACCTGTTAGTTCATATGCCTTGCGACTGTGATATATAGGCCTAAAGGCCGAGACAATAAGAAGACACAGTGGCAGAATAAATTCAACCACATCTGTATTTTATCACAAAACCGGATAGCAACCATATTGCATGTACAGTAACAGACAGTTACATGACCGACAGCATGGTCAAGCAAGTCTCTGATTGGGAGCCATATTTAAACTGTGTGGTTTCTCCTTGGTTTGTGGGTTTTTGTTCCATGTTTCTGTCAGTGTTACAGAGGACTTCACTATCGTCATTTGTTGTTTCGTGGTTGCTTTATTAAATAAAAGTCATCATGTTCACTCAACGCGCTGCGTATTGGTCCGCTTCTTCAGACGATCGTGACAGAAAAACCCACCATCAAAGGACCAAGCAGCGTGTCAAGCGGCAACAGGACCCAGCTCCAAAGGCTTCCTGGACATGGGAGGAGATTTTGGACGGAAAGGGGTCCTGGACTTGGGAGGAGATCCTGGATGGGATGGATCGCCGTCCATGGAGCGAAACGGTGGAGAGGCGACGGCGAGAGGAGCAACGGCGTCAGCAGGGCCATCATCGTTGGAAGGACGAGAGGCAACCCCAAAAAGTTTTTTGGGGGGGGCACATGGCTTGGACGACGGGGCTAACGGAGGCAGAGAAGGGGCGAATTCAAGAGGCAACCAGGTTACGGGGGTCACTGGCCAAAGTAGGGAAAGGAGATGTAGAGGCACGGCGTGAGAGACTGAGGTGTGTATCCAGTCCGGTCCGGCCCGTTCCAGTTCCCGGGGTAGAGCCAGTGGTGTGTGCCTCCAGTACGGTCCGGCCTGTTACGACCCCTCGCACCAAGGATACGGTGCGCTTTGCCAGCCCGGCCCGGCCTGTTCCGGCCACTCGCACCAGGGATACGGTGCGCTTCGCCAGCCCCGCCCGGCCTGTTCCGGCCACTCGCACCAGGGATACGGTGCGCTTCGCCAGCCCAGCCCGGCCTGTTCCGGCCACTCGCACCAGGGATACGGTGCGCTTCGCCAGCCCAGCCCGGCCTGTTCCGGCCACTCGCACCAGGGATACGGTGCGCTTCGCCAGCCCGGCCCGGCCTGTTCCGGCCACTCGCACCAGGGATACGGTGCGCGTCGCCAGCCCTTTCCCACCAGTGCCTACACCACGCCCCAAGCCTCCTGTGTGTCTCCCGAGTCCTGTGCGTCCTGTTGCTGCTCTCCGCACTAGGCCTACGGTGCGTCCCCAGGGCCAAGCATGCCCTGTTGCTGCTTCCCGCACTAGCCCTGAGATGCGTGTCCTCAGCCCGGTACCTCCAGTTCCGGCACCACGCATCAGGCCTACGGTGCGTCCCCAGGGTCCAGCATGCCCTGTTGCTTCTCCCCGCACTAGCCCTGAGATGCGTGTCCTCAGCCCGGTACCTCCTGTTCCGGCACCACGCACCAGGCCTACGATGCGCCTCAGACGGCCAGAGTCTGCCGTCTGCCCAACGGGGCCTGAACTGTCCGTCTGCCCAACGCCGTCTGAACTGCCCGTCTGCCCAACGCCGTCTGAACTGTCCGTCTGCCAAGCGCCGCAGGAACTGCCCGTCTGTACTGAGCCTGCTAAGCCGCCCGTCTGCCATGAGCCTTCAGAGCCGTCTGCCAGACCGGAGCCGCTAGAGCTCTCCGCCAGACAGGAGCAGCCAGAGCCTTCCGCCAGACAGGATCAGCCAGAGCCTTCCGCCAGACAGGATCAGCCAGAGCCTTCCGCCAGACAGGATCAGCCAGAGCCTTCCGCCAGACAGGATCAGCCAGAGCCTTCCGCCAGACAGGATCAGCCAGAGCCGTCCAGCCAGGATCCGCCAGAGCCGTCCAGCCAGGATCCGCCAGAGCCAGCCAGCCAGGATCCGCCATTCAGTCCGGTGCTGCCCCTTAGTCAGGTACTGTCCCTTAGTCCGGTGCTGCCCCTTAGTCCGGTGCTGCCCCTTAGTCCGGTGCCGCCCCTTAATCCAGTGGGGTTTAATTGGGGGGTGGTCAGGTGGAGGGGGCTACGGAAGCGGATAGTGACTAAGGTGGGGTGGGGACCACGACCTGGGCCAGAGCCGCCACCATGGACAGACGCCCACCCAGACCCTCCCCTAGACTGTATGCTGGTGCGCCCGGAGTGCGCACCTTTAGGGGGGGGTACTGTGATACTCTGGCTAGTTAATGTTTACGACATTTTCGGACTACTATACAACTATTGATTTCGAACCACAGAGAGTTACCACAAGTTGCAAAGAAAACATGAGCTGCCTACACTAGTCCAGCACCATTTCAACTTCAACATCATCAAATCAACACTGCTTAGTCTAATAGTGACAACTAAAAATACCTCTGTGATCCTCTGTAGCTCAGCTGGTAGAGCACGGCGCTTGTAACGCCAAGGTAGTGGGTTCGAGTCCCGGGACCACCCATACACAAAAAAAAAAATTTATGCACGCATGACTGTAAGTCGCTTTGGATAAAAGCGTCTGCTAAATGGCTTATTATTATTATAGTCCAATCAACGTAAGCTAAATATGATGTGGCTGTCCATGGTTCTGATTTCTGTGTGTGCGCGTTCGTGCAAGTAGAAAAACATGTTGACTCACCCTACTCGTAGAGAAACACCAATGCCATCCTCCTCTCTTTCATGTTGACAAAACGGTTATAAATCTGTCATACAGTACACATTTTTATTTTTTGTTGTCCTAGGCTATCTGGCTAAAATGCTTGCTCGCTAGCCTAACTTCCATTAATGGGCAACGTTAGATAGTTAACATTAGCCTTTTACATCTAGCTACATATTGAACTTCTATCCTCTCAGGCCAGGGGCACAACAATGTATGAATTAATGGTTGGATCAGAATCGCCATTATAACCATTGGCCATTACGGAGAATTAAGTAAAACCACAAGTCCAAATCCCTATCTCCATCCATGGCTAATTTAGGAAAGGGCCAATTTTAGCTAGCTAGCTTGCCACCGGAGGACAACACAACGGGATGCAACAATTAAAGTTTTCTGTCGATGACGTATGCTCTCAATGGGATTTAATAGGAGTGACTCCTAAATCCAAACTGGCTTCCCTTGACCCTTTATTTTTGGTGCGTCAGGATCATTCACAGTTGAGCTGGCACATTTTTTAAAACCTTTTTTATCAAGGGAGGACAAATGCTTGCTGGCTTCCCTTGACTTCAATGCTACGGGAGGCAACAATGTCATACTCGTTTGGACCAGACAGCATGAGATAGATGGCCTACATGTAGTGATACAGAGGAGTGCTGTTTAGCTGGCTCGGATGCTTTCTTCTGTGAGATACATTCAGCCTCTTGCGAATTGAAGGAAATGTATGAAACACAGAGAGATAAAAGATAAAATAATGTATATTTATAATCTGATAAACTGGTGTAAAACCCCTTGCACTGCCACAGTTGGTGGAGAATGTGGGCATAGCGCCCCCTGTTGGTTGAGAGAGGCATAGGTATTTGACTCCGGGTATAGCGACACTTGAAGTAGGGAGTGTCTGGTGTGGAAGCTGTGAGGAGGACAGGCATGTGTGGATCAAACGGGACCAAGAGGCTCACCTTACATTGGGGAGCATGTCAGTGGTAGAACTACAAGGACTGCGACCAGCCTGAAAAGCAAGGGAGGTGGTGCTGGGAGTTCACCTAGAGAGGGGTGAAGAAAGCTTTTGTTGGGGACAGCCCTACCTTCTTCCAGACCCACCTGCACTGCTACAGTCTCCACCCTCTGACGGCCATGCTACACTATAGCCGTCGGGCGTCCGGCATGGCATCAGCCCTCAGACGTTGAGGCTAATCTGACAGTGCTGTGCTCGCGTTGCGTCACGTCCAATGGCAGCGTCCAAGCTCAAGAATTGCCTATAAATTCAATTTTGGACGGCTGACGCACATTCATTCTATCTTGTGAATTGAAATAATGAAAAATAAAGTTGATTTTGGTTGCATATGGCCTCCACTAGACACCACTGGTTATTTTACTAAGATTTGGGAAGTTAAGAAGCTACTAGCTAGCTACATGGACTATGTTCACAATGTAAACAAAAGCAACATGTGTAATTACAGGATCATTTAGTACAACCACTAGCAACAATTTAAGAGTACTTGCGAAAAACTGGACCAAAGCTATTGTACATACGAATAATCGATGAATATGGTACAGTAGGGAAAAACTGAATAAAGATGGTCTTCCCCTCTACTTCTCTACCTCTCAAAACAACGTGCTCTGTGTAGTAGGTAGAATGTCACATTGACGCGACACTGCTGGCAAAGCAATGCGAATAGCGGAGCTGAAGTGAGCGCAAACCAGAGAAAGATTCACCACTGCTCCAGCCTCCACCCTCTGAGCCGAAGCCAGAGGTGGCTTTGCTGCTGCCTGAGCAGCTCCAAGAAGAGCTTCCACTTCCACCCTAGCCAGAGCAATCACTGCACTACTGCCAGGAGTGGGAACCTGAGGGTGCCTGGCCACTGCCCCCATTCATGCCAGAGAAAGAACCCTTACCTACTCTGCTCCCGCAGGTTCTCGCCGTGCCACCAGGAGCACCGCCAACAGTGCAGTCCTTCGCCGTGCCACCAGGGGGACTGCCAACACTGCAGTCCATTGCCATGCCACCAGGGGGACTGCCAACACTGCAGTTTCTTGCCACACCACCAAGGGCACCACCATTGCTGCTGAAATCAACCACCAATCAGGAAGTGCAGTTGACCTTTAAGCTTTAAGCTAGTCATTTTTACATTTACATTTTTGGGGAGGGGCATCCGTGGAATGGCCAATCTTCAATTGGCCAATGGCCTCCTTCATGGGGGAAAGAAGTGTGGTGAAGCAGGGCCAAGCCTAGCCAGCATGAGGACTGTTCCCTTAAAGAGGGTGTGGCAGCACTCTAATTGACTTAAACGGTAGGTAGCATAAACGCAACCACATATAACAGATGGATTTGCATCAGTATACGAATCAAAAGTCCCAATGCAAAGTTTCACCTCACATTTATATTTTACGGAGTTTTTACATAAAACCGATCAGAATTACGAAGAATGCCAAAGTCATGTCAGAAAATGCTTTTCCAGAGTGTGATGTAATTTTAAGGACCCGGCAAGCCAGCTTATTCCCTATAATTTAAATTCCAAAAGAATTAACTACAAATGTATAACTTCAAATTAAAGCAAATTGATTGCATGACCACTGGTTTCAATTACATTTTCAGCCAACTTACAAGTAAATACATTATGAATTTACTGTTACAAATCAAATTGCAAGGTTGCTAGCCAACTAGCCTTCTAATGTTAGCCCTACTAGCCTGCTAACGTTAGCCCTACCAGCCTGCTAATGTTACATTATCACTGAATGAGTCCGCCAGTTGCTATCAACACCTAGCTTACAGCTACATCAAAGTAAACCAACGTTTTGGAAATACATAATGCCATCCAACCAAATATCAAAGAATGTTAGCTATATGCAGTTATCTTAGTCAGCAAGATAGCCAGCCAGATATTTTGCCAACTATCCTAAATTGATATTAATTTAATTAATTTCACATAAAATGAATCGCATGTTATCGAGCACTACAGTAAAACTGTGGGCGGTACTGGCTCGGACAACGCTTACTTACTTATAGTAAAACTGTGACTAACATAATATTATAATAGAGTAGGCATTTAAGGTGGTCTTATGAAACATTTGGACACAGGCACCTGTCTCCATTTCACAGGCCTTGGGTAGTTGCAAAAGATTAGGGAGCATTTTCAAGGAATAGAGAAGTTTGGAAAGGCTATGCTTTTCCAACTTTCTCTGGTTGGTGTGAGAATTAGCCATATGTCATCGAGACAACATACCTGCATCTTATCAGCGGAAAGGGGTGTTTTCAAATGTCATTACCAAACGGTCTATGAATGGATAGTTTTCCGGTCAATTGCATTATATAAGGTGTAGTGTCTGGATCAGTGAACCAACTTAACTTCATTTTCCGAAAGGTAAGAGTGTTGTTCATGTGCTTTGCCTACGCTATGTCATGCATGTGTAGGATTTCAATTTGACCAGTTTCTCACAGCAGGAAAATAACCCTGCAGCAACAGGAAATGTGAATGATTGTGTGGATTATAAGTCATGTAATTGTTGATACATTTTTAGTTAGGGCAAATCAAGTCTGAAATGTTCAACAGAAAAGTAGAAATTCCAAACTTTAGAAGCCTTTTAAAAACTTGAATACACTACAAGTTTGCATTTCTGGCAACAACAGGCTGATCAAATTAAGATTCTACACCTGTACTACAGGAAAATTACAGTCAGTAAATTACTTTCTGTGGTGGTATTCAGAGTTATTGACAGTGTATAACCCGGCAGGTTGTTGACATGTCTGCATTGAAGTACACTCTGGGCCTTCTGGCCGTGCTTGTAGTGGCCACCTGGGCCGAGGAGGTGAGTAAAACTCTACTAAACTTTCAACGTCAACGAAGCTGAGAGGAACGCTGACCCCTGCACGTCTCGCGGCTGCATGTGGCCCAAGTCCAGCGACGGCAAGGTCTATGTGCCCTATGTCATTGCCAACCAGTACTGTGAGTACCATGTCATGATGATACCTTGTTTTACAGATGTAGGATATTAATTTGAGCTAGTTTGCTACAGCAGGAAAATAATCCTGCAGCAACAGCAAATGTGAATTATTATGTGGATTATAATTAATGTCAGAAGCCCCTTTAAACATCAAATACACTACAAATGAAGATCCTACATCTGTACATGAGTCCCAAACTACTGTATAAGGTTATATAAGTAGACCATATAAGTAACATCTAATCATTACTGGCCATTAACTGTATTGTGTAGCAAGTTTCATGATACAGTAGTCGTTTTTTAACAGTATTTTTCTTGTCCCATCTGTGTGCTGCCAGCCACCAGGGAGCTGGAAGTCATTCAGCGTGGTCTGCAGTCCTTCGCCGGCTTCTCCTGCATCAACTTCGTCAAGCGCACCAATCACAGAGACTACTTGCACATCCAGTCCCAAAACGGGTACGTATACTATGGAATTACATATAGAATCGTAAGAGCTATGAATTATATGAGTATCTTTATGACGTACACAAACAGGCTGAGTTAGGACCAATTATTTATATAAACCCTGGATTGCTGATGCTATATATTGGCCACTAAGAGGCTTTGAAGGCACCGGTCGGCCATATTGGCACTCCCCAGTTGGAGCAGTCCTCAATAGGAATGATAGAATTCTAAACTATTTCAATGAAATATTTCAAAGACAAAATTACATGTATGCATTAAGGCATCTGTAATAGAATAAACGTGTCAAAGAAACAAATGTAGATATTAATAAATGCATTTCTATAGCTTCCAAAATCTTTTTTACATTAGAGGAGGAGTACCAAGATGGCTGCGCTGTGACTTCAATACAGCACCTAGTGTCAGTTATCCAGGGTATATATACATCATTAGTTAGGAAAGTCCAGTGAGACATGAAACCGCATTATATGGCATGACACATTTATGGTAACAAATCAAAATCAAATCAAATTTTATTTGTCACATACAAGCGAAATGCTTGTGCTTCTAGCTCCGACAGTGCAGTAATATCTAGCAGTGTGTGTGTCTGTGTTTGTGCGTGTGTGGTTGAGTGCATGTGTGTGTGTGTGTGTGTGTTTGTGCAGGTCTGACAGAGACATTTAAAACAAATTGCACTGTTATAACTCTGTCCAACCCTCTCATGGCAGGTGCTGGTCCTACGTTGGTCGTTCTGGCAACGCCCAGGTTGTGTCGCTGAGCCGTTCCGGCTGTGTGTACCACGGCACCACCCAGCACGAGCTTCTCCATGCCCTGGGCTTCAACCACGAGCAGACCCGCAGCGACCGTGACAACCACATCCGGGTTCTCCTCCAGAATGTCCAGTCTGGTAGGATCCCTTTCTCTTTCCCATGTCCCCATATAACCATGTAAATACACAGACATTCTATTATATTCAATGCTATTATATTCTATGCATGTGTACACGCATAGCCGCGGGAAGTAGGGGTGCTGCAGCACACCCTGATAAATATATGTAAAATATATATATATACTGTATATTATCCTAAATATATTCCTGTGGACATGTGTACACACACACACAAACATGTACAGTACATATACAGGCAAACACAAACACACTGTTGCATTCATCACCAACCGTTTCATTTATTTATTAGGGCAAGGTGAATCTAACGTATTCTCTCTCTTCCAGGCATGGAGCACAACTTCAACAAGATTGCCACCCTGAACCAGGGAACGGCTTATGACTACAACTCTGTCATGCAGTACCACAGGTTAGTCAACATCGTTTTACCACTTTCACATCAGTAGATGCTTAGTCAGTTGAGTAATTGTCAAACCAGCCTCATAAAATTCTAATTCTGTGCAGAGCCTGTGGTCTAGCAGTAAGACACCCGGCTTCAAGCCCATATCATTTTTGTTGAATTGAACTTGATGTTCAATCCGATTCCCTGATCCACCCTTCCTACTGTCTCCACTTCATCTACCTGAACCCCTCTACTTCTAATCTGTCTAGATAAGCATGAAAACATGACCAAAAATATGATTACATGGTAAGCCTACCCCCACTCATCCCAAGTGTTCATGATGATGTGATGTGATTGTAGGTACGCCTTCTCCAAGAACAACCAGCCCACCATGGTTCCCATCCCCAACCAGAACGTGGAGATCGGCAATGCCTCCCAGATGAGCCAGAGCGACATCACCCGTCTCAACAGGCTGTACAACTGTTAAACAGACACCTTGTGTTTCTGTCCTCTCTCGTAAGGTAGTGTCGATGATTCAGTGTTGATATAAAAACACAGAATAAAGTTTAATAAACCGGCATGTAAAAATATACTGCATTTTTGTTTCATTATTTTAAAAGTCTTCATATATTTTTTTACAGCGTGGATAAAAGTCCTGGGTTGAAATACTATTTGAAATCATCTCAAATAACCTAGTTTAGCTGGGCTTGATTGAGCATGCGTGGCGCAATAGAACCAATGAAATATTCTCAAAACTGTAAACCCTGCCTACTGGGCACAATTGGGAGGCTAGAGCAAACACTCAAAGCATATGAAACATTTGAAATAGCATTTGAACCCAGGACTGGTAGATACAGCTGTTTGCACCAATCAAACTGTTGGACACCAGCTCTGCTCTATCACTAGGCTACTAGTCCTAACTGCAGTCAGTCCCAATGCTGACCACAAGGGGGCGACACATTACTACAGAGCATTGACAGGAAATGTACTGTAATTACAAACAAGAGTTTAATGGCTTTCTGCATTCTGGCTTGGATCCCGACAGAAATTCTTCACAAAAACCATTCTTCCACTGTGTGACCCGATCTACTTGAGAAAGAGACACAGACTAATTCAAAAAGGTTTGGTATGAAATGCTAAGTAGAGTCGAAGTTAAATCTGATCAGTAGCGGTGTGTGGGTAAAATCACTGGAGAAGCCAAGTCCCCCCCCCCCCCCCCCCCCCCCCCCCCCCCCAAAAATGCCATATTACAATATATGTGTAAGGATGTAGCTCAGTTGGTAGAGAATGGCGTTCGCAACGCCAGGGTTGTGGTTTCGATTCCCACGGGGGGCCAGTATGAATTTTTTTAAATAATAATAATAATGTATGCACTCACTAACTGTAATAGCGTCTGCTAAATGACTAAAATGAGATAATTGCATTGTTTGCTCTATAACCTGTTAATTCATATGCCTTGCGACCGTGATATATAGGCCTAAAGGCCGAGACAATAAGAAGGCACAGTGGCAGAATAAATTCAACCACACCTTTGTTTTATCACAAAACCAGATAGCAACCTCTGTCCAGTGATGTCCACAAAGCATATTGTATGTACAGTAACAGACAGTTACATGACCTACAGCATGGTCAAGCAAGTTAATGTTTCCGACATTTTCGGCCACCACTATTCCAGCATCAATAAATAAAAAAATAAAATAAATAAAATCATTTCAACTTCAACATCAAATCACCTCTGCTTAGTCTAATACAGTGACAACTAAAATATATAAAAAACAATTTAATCCAATCAACGTCAGCTAACTATGATGTGGCTGTCCATGGTTCTGATTTCTGTGTGTGCGCGTTCGTGCATCTTTATTTTATCACAAAACCGGATAGCAACCATATTGCATGTACAGTAACAGACAGTTACATGACCGACAGCATGGTCAAGCAAGTTAATGTTTACGACATTTTCGGACTACTATACAACTATTGATTTCGAACCACAGAGAGTTACCACAAGTTGCAAAGAAAACATGAGCTGCCTACACTAGTCCAGCACCATTTCAACTTCAACATTTCAACATCATCAAATCAACACTGCTTAGTCTAATAGTGACAACTAAAGATACCAAAAACAATTTAGTCCAATCAACGTAAGCTAAATATGATGTGGCTGTCCATGGTTCTGATTTCTGTGTGTGCGCGTTCGTGCAAGTAGAAAAACATGTTGACTCACCCTACTTGTACAGAAACACCAATGCCATCCTCCTCTCTTTCATGTTGACAAAATGGTTATAAATCTGTCATACAGTACACATTTTTATTTTTTGTTCTGGCTAAAATGCTTGCTTGCTAGCCTAACTTCCATTCATGGGCAACGTTAGCTAGTTAACATTAGCCTTTTACATCTAGCCACATATTGATCTTCCATCCTCTCAGTCCAGGGGCACAACAATGAATGAATTAATGGTTGGATCAGAATCGCCATTATAACCATTGGCCATTACGGAGAATTAAGTAAAACCACAAGTGTTTCCCGGTCAGGATATTATCCAATGTGCCTTTAGTCAATTTACTTGTCAGGGACCAGTTTACAACTAAAACATTTATTTCAGAGGCTGAATATGATGCACTCAACCAGATACTGTAAAGCAAAAAGACACACCCACATCAAACCACACCCCCAAGACAACTCTTGTTAGACCTCTGTCATGGCCGCTAGCATTTCTTAATGAGCGTTGATGAAAAAGAGGACAAATCAGGAAGTGCAGTTTACCTTTAAGCTTTAAGCTAGTCCTGCTTGACTTCATGCTTTTGTTTTCGGAGTTTGTGCTTAATGTTGTAGAGCTCTGGAAGTGCCAGGATTTCATTTGACTTTTGTAAATAAAAGCCTCTTTGTTTGCTCCAGTCTCCTGTGCCTTTACCTATGAGTCATTGCCTATGCCCAACCCCCTAGATGTGTAAAACCCCTTGCACTGCCACAGTTTTTTATTTTTTATTTTTTTATTTCACCTTTATTTAACCAGGTAAGCCAGTTGAGAACAAGTTCTCATTTACAACTGCGACCTGGCCAAGATAAAGCAAAGCAGTGCGATAAAAACAACAACACAGAGTTACATATGGGGTAAAACAAACATAAAGTCAAAAAATACAACAGAAAATATATATACAGTGTGTGCAAATGTAGCAAGTTATGGAGGTAAGGCAATAAATAGGCTATAGTGCAAAATAATTACAATTAGTATTAACACTGGAATGATAGATGTGCAAGAGATTATGTGCAAATAGAGATACTGGGGTGCAAATGAGCAAAATAAATAACAATATAATAATAGGGATGAGCTAATTTCAGATGGGCTGTGTACAGGTGCAGTGATCGGTAAGGTGCTCTGACAACTGATGCTTAGTTAGTGAGGGAGATAAGAGTCTCCAGCTTCAGAGATTTTTGCAATTCGTTCCAGTCATTGGCAGCAGAGAACTGGAAGGAATGGCGGCCAAAGGAGGTGTTGGCTTTGGGGATGACCAGTGAGATATACCTGCTGGAGCGCATACTACGGGTGGGTGTAGTGGAACAGGTTGAGTGGAACAGGTTGAGAGCTTCAAGTTCCTTGGTGTCCACATCACCAACAAACTATCATGGTCCAAACACACCAAGACAGTCGTGAAGAGGGCACGACAAAGCCTATTCCCCCTCAGGAGACTAAAAAGATTTGGCATGGGTCCTCAGATCCTCAAAGAATTCTACAGCTGCACCATCGAGAGCATCCTGACTGGTTGCATCACCGCCTGGTATGGCAACTGCTTGGCCTCCGACCGCAAGGCACTACAGAGGGTAGTGCGTACGGCCCAGTACATCACTGGGGCAAAGCTTCCTGCCATCCAGGACCTCTATACCAGGCGGTGTCAGAGGAAGGCCCTCAAAATTGTCAAAGACTCCAGCCACCCTAGTCATAGACTGTTCTCTCTGCTACCGCACGGCAAGCGGTACCGGAGTGCCAAGTCTAGGTCCAAAAGACTTCTCAACAGCTTCTACCCCCAAGCCATAAGACTTCTGAACAGCTAATCATGGCTACCCGGACTATTTGCACTGCCCCCCCACCCCATCCTTTTTACGCTGCTGCTACTCTGTTAAGTATTTATGCATAGTCACTTTAACTCTACCCACATGTACATATTACCTCAACTACCTCAACTAGCCGGTGCCCCCGCACATTGACTCTGCAACGGTACCCCCCTGTATATATAGCCTCCCTACTGTCACTTTATTTTACTTCTGCTCTTTTTTTTCTCAACACTTTTTTTGTTGTTGTTGTTTTATTTTTACTTTTTTGTTTAAAATATATGCACTGTTGATTAAGGGCTGTAAGTAAGCATTTCACTGTAATGTCTGCACCTGTTGTATTCGGCGCATGTGACCAATAAAATTTGATTTGATTTGATTTGATTTGATTTGTTGCTATAGTGACCAATGAGCTAAGATAAGGCGGGGATTTGCCTAGCAGTGATTTATAGATGGCCTGGAGCCAGTGGGTTTGACGACGAACATGTAATGAGGACCATCCAACAAGAGCGTACAGGTCACAGTGGTGGGTAGTGTATGGGGCTTTGGAGACAAAACGGAGGCACTGTGATAGACTACATCCAATTTGCTGAGTAGAGTGTTGGAGGCTATTTTGTAAATGACATCGCCGAAGTCAAGGATCGGTAGGATAGTCAGTTTTACGAGGGCATGTTTGGCAGCATGAGTGAAGGAGGCTTTGTTGCGAAATAGGAAGCCGATTCTGGATTTAACTTTGGATTGGAGATGCTTAATGTGAGTCTGGAAGGAGAGTTTACAGTCTAACCAGACACCTAGGTATTTGTAGTTGTCCACATACTCTAGGTCAGACCCGTCGAGAGTAGTGATTCTAGTCGGGTGGGCGGGTGCCAGCAGCGTTCGATTGAAGAGCATGCATTTAGTTTTACTAGTGTTTAAGAGCAGTTGGAGGCTACTGAAGGAGTGTTGTATGGCATTGAAGCTCGTTTGGAGGTTTGTTAACACAGTGTCCAATGAAGGGCCAGATGTATACAAAATGGTGTCGTCTGCGTAGAGGTGGATCTGAGAGTCACCAGCAGCAAGAGCGACATCATTGATATACACAGAGAAAAGAGTCGGCCCAAGAATTGAACCCTGTGGCACCCCCATAGAGACTGCCATAGGTCCAGACAACAGGCCCTCCGATTTGACACATTGAACTCTATCTGAGAAGTAGTTGGTGAACCAGGCGAGGCAGTCATTTGAGAAACCAAGGCTATTTAGTCTGCCAATAAGAATGCGGTGGTTGACAGAGTCGAAAGCCTTGGCCAGGTCGATGAAGACGGCTGCACAGTACTGTCTATTATCGATCGCAGATATAATATCGCTTAGGACCTTGAGCGTGGCTGAAGTGCACCCATGACCAGCTCGGAAACCGGATTGCATAGCGGAGAAGGTAAGGTGGGGGACCAATGCAAAGTTTCACCTCACTTTTATATTTTACGGAGTATTTACATAAAAACGATCAGAATTACAAAGAATGCAAAAGTCATGTCAGAAAATGCTTTTCCAGGGTGTGATGTAATTTTAAGGACCCGACAAGCCAGCCTATTCCCTATAATGTAAACTCCAACAGAATTAAAAAAGGTATGCACTCACTAACTGTAAGTCGCTCTGGATAAGAGCGTCTGCTAAATGACTAAAATGTAAATGTAAATGTAATTAACTATAAATGTATAACTTCAAATTAAACCAAATTGTTTGCATGACCACTGGTTTCAATTACATTTTCAGCCAACTTACAAGTAAATATATTATGAATTTACTGTTACAAATCAAATTGCAAGGTTGCTAGCCAACTAGCCTTCTAATGTTAGCCCTACTAGCCTGCTAACGTTAGCCCTACCAGCCTGCTAATGTTAATTAATTTCACATATCAATCGTATGTTATTGAGCAGTACAGCAAAACTGTTGGTGGTTCTGGCTCGGACAAGGCTTACTTTAATGCTTACTTATAGTAAAACTGTGACTAACATAATGTTATAATAGAGTAGTCATTTAAGGTGGTCTTATGAAACATTTGGACACAGGCACCTGTCTCCATTTCACAGGCCTTGGGTAGTTGCAAAAGATTAGGGAGCATTTTCAAGGAATAGAGAAGTTTGGAAAGGCTACGCTTTTCCAACTTTCTCTGGTTGGTGTGAGAATTAGCCATATGTCATTGAGACAACATACCTGCATCTTATCAGCAGAAAGGGGTGTTTTCAAATGTTATTACCAAACGGTCCATGAATGGATAGTTTTCCGGTCAATTGCATTATATAAGGTGCAGTGTCTGGATCAGTGAACCAACTTCACTTCATTTCCCGAAAGGTAAGAGTGTTGTTCATGTGCTTTGCCTACGCTATGTCATGCATGTGTAGGATTTCAATTTGACCAGTTTCTCACTGCAGGAAAATAACCCTGCAGCAACAGGAAATGTGAATTATTGTGTGGATTATAATTCATGTAATTGTTTGTAGGGGTTAATACATTTTTAGTTAGGGCAAATCAAGTCTGAAATGTTCAACAGAAAAGTGGAAATTCCAAACTTTAGAAGCCTTTTTAAAACTTGAATATACTACAAATTTGCGTTTCTGGCAACAACAGGCTAATCAAATTAAGATTCTACACCTGTACTACAGGAAAATTACAGTCAGTAAATTACTTTCTGTGGTGGTATTCAGAGTTATTGACAGTGTATAACCCGGCAGGTTGTTGACATGTCTGCATTGAAGTACACTCTGGGCCTTCTGGCCGTGCTTGTAGTGGCCACCTGGGCCGAGGAGGTGAGTAAAACTCTACTAAACTTTCCACGGTGTGTTTTGTGTCTGCATTCATGTGTTCATGTGTGTGTTCATCCATTTATGTGTGGACATGTGCATGCATATTTTGTGAAACAACCTAACTATTCATTATAAGGTGTTTGCTGATTTGTCAATGTCATTATTTCTCTCTCTGTCTTTGCTGCCATAGGAGCTCTCTGTCTCTGAGCTGCTGGAGAAGGCCAACAGGAATGTTGGTAAGACAGTTTTTAAATTGTGATATACAATACCCGCCAAACACTTTCAGATAACATTATGAGTGATATGAAATATTAAATAAAGATGTATTAGAAAAGAAAGTTCCATGATCGCATTGCTTTTTAGTCCAGTACTAGGCTTAATCAGTATCCGGGAAACTGATCCAAAGAGTCACACTTTGACATCCTGTCCTGTCCCCATCCCTCCAGTGCATACCCGCAACGAGCCCTTGATTGTTGATGACATCGCCTACGTCAACGAAGCTGAGAGGAACGCTGACCCCTGCACGTCTCGCGGCTGCATGTGGCCCAAGTCCAGCGACGGCAAGGTCTATGTGCCCTATGTCATTGCCAACCAGTACTGTGAGTACCATGTCATGATGATACCTTATTTTACAGATGTAGGATATTAATTTGAGCTAGTTTTTGTTACAGCAAATAATCCTACAGCAACAGCAAATGTACATTATTATATGGATTATAATTAATGACATTTTTTTGTAGGGGATCATATATTTTTCGTTAGGGCAAATCAAGTCTGACATTTTAAAGTGTAAATTAGAAACGTCAGAAGCCCTTTTAAACATCAAATACACTACAAATGAAGATCCTACATCTGTACATGAGTCCCAAACTACTGTATAAGGTTATATAAGTAGACCATATAAGTAACATCTAATCATTACTGGCCATTAACTGTATTGTGTAGCAAGTTTCATGATACAGTAGTCGTTTTTTAACAGTATTTTTCTTGTCCCATCTGTGTGCTGCCAGCCACCAGGGAGCTGGAAGTCATTGAGCGTGGTCTGCAGTCCTTCGCCGGCTTCTCCTGCATCAACTTCGTCAAGCGCACCAACCACAGAGACTACTTGCACATCCAGTCCCAAAACGGGTACGTATACTATGGAATTACATAAAGAATCGTAAGAGCTATGAATTATATGAGGCTCTTTATGACGTACACAAACAGGCTGAGTTGGGACCAATTATTTATATAAACCCTGGATTGCTGATGCTATATATTGGCCACTAAGAGGCTTTGAAGGCACCGGTCGGCCATATTGGCACTCCCCAGTTGGAGCAGTCCTCAATAGGAATGATAGAATTCTAAACTATTTCAATGAAATATTTCAAAGACAAAATTACATGTATGCATTAAGGCATCTGTAATAGAATAAACGTGTCAAAGAAACAAATGTAGATATTAATAAATGCATTTCTATAGCTTCCAAAATCTTTTTTACATTAGAGGAGGAGTACCAAGATGGCTGCGCGGTGACTTCAATACAGCACCTAGTGTCAGTTATCCAGGGTTTATATACATCATTAGTTAGGAAAGTCCAGTGAGACATGAAACCGCATTATATGGCATGACACATTTATGGTAACAAATCAAAATCAAATCACATTTTATTTGTCACATACAAGCGAAATGCTTGTGCTTCTAGCTCCGACAGTGCAGTAATATCTAACAGTGTGTGTGTCTGTGTTTGTGCGTGTGTGTGTGTGTTTGTGCAGGTCTGACAGAGACATTTAAAACAAATTGCACTGTTATAACTCTGTCCAACCCTCTCATGGCAGGTGCTGGTCCTACGTTGGTCGTTCTGGCAACGCCCAGGTTGTGTCGCTGAGCCGTTCCGGCTGTGTGTACCACGGCACCACCCAGCACGAGCTCCTCCATGCCCTGGGCTTCAACCACGAGCAGACCCGCAGCGACCGTGACAACCACATCCGGGTTCTCCTCCAGAACGTCCAGTCTGGTAGGATCCCTTCCTCTTTCCCATGTCCCCATATAACCATGTACATACACAGACATTCTATTATATTCAATGCTATTATATTCTATGCATGTGTACACGCATAGCCGCGGGAAGTAGGGGTGCTGCAGCACACCCTGATAAATATATGTAAAACAAAAATATACAGTACCAGTCAGAAGTTTGGACACACCTACTCATTCCAGGGTTTTTCTTTATTTTGACTATTTTCTACATTGTAGAATAATAGTGAAGACATCAAAACTATGAAATAACACATATGGAATCAGGTAGTAACCAAAAAAGTGTTAAACAAATCAAAATATATTTTATATTTGAGATTCTTCAAATAGCCACCCTTTGCCTTGATGACATCTTTGCACACTCTTGGCATTTTCTCAACCAGCTTCACCTGGAAAGCTTTTCCAACAGTTCCCACATATGCTGAGCACTTGTTGGCTGCTTTTCCTTCACTCTGCGGTCCGACTCATCCCAAATCATCTCAAATGGGTTGAGGCCGGGGGATTGTGGAGGCCAGGTCATTTGATGCAGCACTCCATCACTCTCCTTCTTGGTAAAATAGCCTGTGTCTGTTACTTGATCTCAGTGAAGTATTTATTCAGGCTGCAATTTCTTAGGCTGGTAACTCTAATGAACTTATCCTCTGCAGCAGAGGTAACTCTGGGTCTTCCAGTCCTGTGGCGGACCTCATGAGAGCTAGTTTAATCATAGCGCTTGATGGTTTTTGCGACTGCACTTGAAGAAACTTTCAAAGTTCTTGACATTTTCTGTATTGACTGACCTTTCATGTCTTAAAGTAATGATGGAATATTGTTTCTCTTTGCTTATTTGAGCTGTTCTTGCCATAATATGGACTTGGTCTTTTACCAAATAGGGCATTCTTCTATATACCCCTCCTACCTTGTCACAACACAACTGATTAGCTCAAACACATTAAGAAGGAAATAAATTTCACAAATTAACTTTTAACAAGGCACACCTGTTAATTGAAATGCATTCCAGGTGACTACCTCATGAAGCTGGTTGAGAGAATCCCAAGAGTGTGCAAAGCTGTAATCAAGGCAAAGTGTGGCTATTTGAAGAATCTCAAATATAAAATATATTTTGATTTGTTTAACACTTTTTTGGTTACTACCTGATTCCATATGTGTTATTTCATAGTTTTGATGTCTTCACTATTATTCCACAATGTAAAAAATAGTAAAAATAAAGAAAAGGAGTAGGTGTGTCCAAACTTTTGACTGGTACTGTATATATTACCCAAAACATCTTCCCGTGGACATGTGTACACGCACACACAAACATGTACAGTACATATACAGGCAAACACAAACACACTGTTGCATTCATCACCAACCGTTGCATTTATTTATTAGGGCAAGGTGAATCTAACGTATTCTCTCTCTTCCAGGAATGGAGCACAACTTCAACAAGATTGCCACCCTGAACCAGGGAACGGCCTATGACTACAACTCTGTCATGCAGTACCACAGGTTAGTCAACATCGTTTTACCACTTTCACATCAGTAGATGCTTAGTCAGTTGAGTAATTGTCAAACCAGCTTCATAAAATTATAATTCTGTGCAGAGCCTGTGGTCTAGCAGTAAGACACCCGGCTTCAAGCCCATATCATTTTTGTTGAATTGAACTTGATGTTCAATCCGATTCCCTGATCCACCCTTCCTACTGTCTCCACTTCATCTACCTGAACCCCTCTACTTCTAATCTGTCTAGATAAGCATGAAAACATGACCAAAAATATGATTACATGGTAAGCCTACCCCCACTCATCCCAAGTGTTCATGATGATGTGATGTGATTGTAGGTACGCCTTCTCCAAGAACAACCAGCCCACCATGGTTCCCATCCCCAACCAGAACGTGGAGATCGGCAATGCCTCCCAGATGAGCCAGAGCGACATCACCCGTCTCAACAGGCTGTACAACTGTTAAACAGACACCTTGTGTTTCTGTCGTCTCTCGTAAGGTAGTGTCGATGATTCAGTGTTGATATAAACACAGAATAAAGTTCAATAAACCGCCATGTAAAAACATATTGTATTTTTGTTTCATTCTTTTTTTACAGTGTGGATAAAAGTCCTGGGTTAAAATACTTTTTGAAATCATATCAAATACTTTAGCTGGGCTTGATTGAGCGTGCTTGGCGCAATGGAACCAATGAAACAGTTTCAAAACTGTAAACCCTGCCTACTGGGCACAATTGGGAGGCTAGAGCAAACACTCAAAGCATTTAAAACATTTGAAATTGTATTTGAACCCAGGACTGGTAGATACAGCTGTTCGCACCAATCAAACTGTTCGACACCAGCCCTGCTCTATCACTAGGCTACTAGTCCTAACTGCAGTCAGTCCCAATACTGACCACAAACGGGCGACACATTACCACAGAGCTTTGACAGTAACTGTCTATTGATCCCATTGATGACTATACTACTGTGTCATCAGACTCCCCATCTCCCACATTAGAATTAATTTGAATCCAGATTATGCTTTAGTGCATCAACATTTTAGACACTATCTACTGGGATATATTCATCAGATCACATCACCATCCCTGAATTTAGATGCTCAAACTGTTTAAATGTTTGTATGGCAGAGATTCTATTACCTGCATTTCTTAATGTAAGCACGGAGGTGTTTGCACTTCAAGCACACAGCACCACCAGTAAGTTGTCTCGAAAACCAGACCCTAAATTGTGGGAGGCAACGCAGATGTCCAGAGAGACTAACCAGTAAGTGTGTGGTTGTGATGAAGAGCTGACCAGATGGATCAATATATCTTCATTATCTGCCTACTTGCCGTGAAAGTATAGGTTATAGGTCTACTGTAATTACAAACGAGAGTTTGATGGCTGTCTGCATTCTGGCTTGGATCCCAACGGACATTCATCACAAACACAATTCTTCCATTGTGTGACCCTGTCTACTTGAGAAAGAGTCACAGACTCTAGTTCAAAAGGTTTGTTCTGAAATGCTAACTAGAGTCAAAGTGAAATCTGATAAGCTTAGTGTTACACATAACTGTATTGAGTATCATTGATCTACACAATAGTATTTCTGGGCCAACTCCTGAATGAGTTTGTCTGTAACATGTAACTTCCTGGTAGGGTTGACAGTCATGCCATGACGGTGTTAAAGTCATCAAGTTTCTACATCCATCTGAACTGATGTCGTGGACCATTTTTGAACAACGGTGTCTTTCTGTCTGACGCTTGGTGCCAGTATCAGGGTCACGACCCTAGGCTAGGATTCGCTCTGAAAGCCTGAGTGGGAGGTTGGGGGGGCGAGGGAGGGGGACGGGTAACCCTCTAAAGTTCATGCATGGACGGCAGGTAGCCATAACTAACAGTTAGAGCTTTGGCCCAGTAACCGAAAAATCTGTTGATGTGCCCTTGAGTGAGGCACTTTGCTTCAGGGGCGCCGTACTACTATGGCTTCACCGCACCTACCAAAGGTTTTTATAACTAACCAAGATAGACCACAGCCTGTCGTTTCCAATGGGAGCAAGTTAATCATAGTGGGCAGACCAAGCAAGGAGGTGGGCAGAGCCAAGCATGAGCAAGCGAGATCCTATTGGTGCGTTCTAGCATGTATTCGCATATTTCTGTTAGGCAACGCCTACTCTGTGAAGTGCGCTTGTGCAAGAATTCAATTGCACTTCTAAATAAAATAATTTTACAAAGGGTAAAGTGTACACAACTTAGTCCAGTTTGTTCGTAACAGATTCTAGTTTTATTAACAGAAATCTGTATTGAGATAAAATGTTTCATCGAGGAGAAAATTAGCAGAATGTCAGAAAAAATTAATCTCTCTCCATCTTCTACTACTGCCGGCCACTGTGCTTCCGCCTGCTCCGTCTGCTCCACCTGCTCCACCTGCTCCTCCTACTCCTCCTACTCCGCCTGCTCCTCCTACTCCTCCTACTCCGCCTGCTCCACCTACTCCTCCTACTCCGCCTGCTCCTCCTACTCCCCCTGCTCATCCTGCTCCTCCTACTCCGCCTGCTCCGCCTCCTCCGCCTGCTCCTCCTACTCCGCCTACTCCTCCTACTCCTCCTACTCCGCCTGTTCATCCTACTCCTCCTGCTCCTCCTACTCCTCCTGCTCCGCCTGCTCCTCCTGATCCTCCTACTCCGCCTGCTCCTCCTACTCCTCCTACTCCGTCTGCTCTGCCTACTCCTCCTACTCCACCTGCTCCTCCAACTCCTCCTGCTCCTCCTACTCCGCCTGCTCCTCCTGCTCCTCCTACTCCGCCTGCTCTGCCTACTCCTCCTGCTCCGCCTACTCCTCCTGCTCCTCCTGCTCCTCCTGCTCCGCCTGCTCCGCCTGCTCCTCCTGCTCCTCCTGCTCCGCCTGCTCCTCCTGTTCCTCCTTCTCTTCCTATCCGGACCCTCTGTGTCTCCCCATTTGAAGCTTCTCACCAGGACATGCGATTAATCCGGGACGGAGTAATTTTTTTCGGGCCGGCTGGTCTGTCTGCCGAATGACCCAACGCACAAGCACACTGGTCCTAGTGATGGCTGCCCTGCTGCCCAGTGCCCACCCCTCCTCCCACTCCTTCCATCCTCGTCACCAACAGGAAACTATTGTGCCCGCTGTGTGTCCCGACAATGAGCGAGTCACTGTGAGCCAAGTCCCCAAAGAGGGCTGGGGGGGAGAGGGGAAGAGTGGCATGTAGCCTAGCCTCAGGTCAGTTTCCCATGTAGCCTAGCCTCAGGTCAGTTCCCCATGTAGCCTAGCCTCAGGTCAGTTCACCATGTAGCCTAGCCTCAGGTCAGTTCACCATGTAGCCTAGCCTCAGGTCAGTTCACCATGTAGCCTAGCCTCAGGTCAGTTCCCCATGTAGCCTAGCCTCAGGTCAGTTCCCCATGTAGCCTAGCCTCAGGTCAGTTCCCCATAGCCTGCCTCATCTATCACTGTCAGTCCTGTCCACACATCTCTGGTTACAGAGGCCTCTCTCTCTCTCTCTCTCTCTCCCTCTTTCCCTATCGCTCTCTCTGTCTCTCTTTCTCTCTCTCCCGCTCTCTCTCTCTCTTTCTGATGGCTACTTCCTTTGTGGGCTGTCCTGAGTGTCCTCACATCCCCCAGGGAAGACACTCCGTATACTGTGTGGTAGAAACAGATCTAGGATCAGATTTACCCTCCTCGAATACTTACCTTAGTAATGCAACACTGACCTTGGGTCAACATGTAGGGGCATGCAGGAGGACTTCTTTGAATCACCTCTTTTAGGTAGGATATCAATTACACAAGACTTAAAACCTGTGGGGCCTAATTACCCATTTTGGTTTACTGCATATAACGTGTACGACAACACATTTCCTAAGATCCATTTATCTCCATCATAATATTGTTTCTACAAAAAGCATCCCATAACACCTTTCTATATTGTTAAAAGCTTGAGTTAATTTTTAAGTCCCTTTGCTGTGGTTCACCTCAGCTTAATGCTAATTGTTCTGCAGTACATTGCATGAGCATGTTGTATGAGCATCATGTAAAACAAGGCTTCCTTAGATTACCATTCACATGGGGTCCTAATGTACTCTGGTCAAAGGTAGTGCACTCTAGTTGACCAGGGCTCTGGTCAAAGGTAGTGCACTCTAAAGTGAATAGGGTGCCATTTGGGATGCAGCTCAGGTCTACTGTTCCCAGCCAGTCCCATATCAATAGTTTATGCTGTGATGCCCCTGGCCCCCCCCTGGCCCCCTCCTGGCCCCCGCCTAGGCCAAGCCCCCGCCTGGCCCTGGGAACGCTGGTTGGCCAATTAGCCTAACATGATTAGCCAGATTTGGCCCAGAGTCAGTTTTCAATTAGGCCGAGTGAGCAGGAACAGTAGCTCCCTTCAGCGGTTTAAAAATAGCAGTGTTTGTGTAGCTTACAGCAACGCCAGGGTCCACAGTTTACACCCAGTAAGTTACACACAAACGAGAACAAATGTTCAACCCCAACTTCAACTTTGGTCATCCCACAGTCTCACAATTAAATATAAGTAGTCTTGAGGTTTGCGATGAGGCAAAAGGTCGTATCTGAGGGTAGTTTATTTTGGGCAAAAAGTATTCAATACCATGTTGCAATCGAATGAGGATGTAGCATATAATGTAATAAGTAAGCATACAGTAATTATATTCCAGGGTGGGAAAATGAACAGTTATGTAATGTGTTTTGTTGACTGCCAGTTTAGTTTATTAGGATCCCCATTAGCTGCTACTATGTCTGGGATCCACATAGAGCATACAAATACATTACAATGTACAGAACAGTAATAGACAAGAACATCATAAGATATAACATTAAATTAAAATAAAATAAAATAAGAGTTATATATAGGAAAGACACCAAGAGACAACAAAAATGCTATTTACACACTATTCATATACATATACAGTGCCTTCAGAAAGTATTCATATCGCTTGACTTATTCCACATTTTGTTGTGTTACAGCCTGAATTCAAAATGGATTAAATACACACAATACCCCAAATTGACAAAGTGAAAACATGTGTTTAGACATTTTTGCAAATGTATTGAAAATGAAATTCAGAAATATCACACGCCTGAGTCAATACTTTGTAGAAGCACCTTTGGCAGCGATTACAGCTGTGAGTCTTTCTGGGTCTCTAAGAGCTTTCCACACCTGGATTGTACAACATTTACCCATTATTATTTTCAAAATTCTTCAAGCTCTGTCAAATTGGTAGTTGATCATTGCTAGACACCATTTTCAGGTCTTGCCATAGATTTTCAAACAGATTCAAGTCAAAACTGTAACTCGGCCACTCAAGAACATTACATTTACGTCATTTAGCAGACGCTCTTATCCAGAGCGACTTACAAATAGGTGCATTCACCTTATAGCCAGTGGGATAACCACTTTACAATGTTTTATTTTTTATTTTTTTTATTTTTGGGGGGGTGGTGGGTTGGGGTAAGGGGGGGGTAGAAGGATTACTTTATCCTATCCCAGGTATTCCTTAAAGAGGTGGGGTTTCAAATGTCTCCGGAAGGTGGTGAGTGACTCCGCTGTCCTGGCGTCGTGAGGGAGCTTGTTCCACCATTGGGGTGCCAGAGCAGCGAACAGTTTTGACTGGGCTGAGCGGGAACAATGCTTCCGCAGAGGTAGGGGAGCCAGCAGGCCAGAGGTGGATGAACGCAATGCCCTCGTTTGGGTGTAGGGACTGATCAGAGCCTGAAGGTACGGAGGTGCCGTTCTCCTCACAGCTCCGTAGGCAAGCACCATGGTCTTGTAGCAGATGCGAGCTTCAACTGGAAGCCAGTGGAGTGTGCGGAGGAGCGGGGTGACGTGAGAGAACTTGGGAAGGTTGAACACCAGACGGGCTGCTGCATTCTGGATGAGTTGTAGGGGTTTAATGGCACAGGCAGGGAGCCCAGCCAACAGCGAGTTGCAGTAATCCAGACGGGAGATGACAAGTGCCTGGATTAGGACCTGTGCCGCTTCCTGTGTAAGGCAGGGTCGTACTCTCCGAATGTTGTAGAGCATGAACCTACAGGATCGGGTCACCGCCTTGATGTTAGCGGAGAACGACAGGGTGTTGTCCAGGGTCACGCCAAGGCTCTTCGCACTCTGGGAGGAGGACACAACGGAGTTGTCAACCGTGATGGCGAGATCATGGAACAGGCAGTCCTTCCCTGGGAGGAAGAGCAGCTCCGTCTTGCCAAGGTTCAGCTTGAGGTGGTGATCCGTCATCCATACTGATATGTCTGCCAGACATGCAGAGATGCGATTCGCCACCTGGTTATCAGAAGGGGGAAAGGAGAAGATTAGTTGTGTGTCGTCAGCGTAGCAATGATAGGAGAGGCCATGTGAGGATATGACAGAGCCAAGTGACTTGGTGTATAGCGAGAATAGGAGAGGGCCTAGAACGGAGCCCTGGGGGACACCAGTGGTGAGAGCACGTGGTGCGGAGACAGCTTCTCGCCACGCCACTTGGTAGGAGCGACCGGTCAGGTAGGACGCAATCCAAGAGTGAGCCGCGCCGGAGATGCCCAGCTCGGAGAGGGTGGAGAGGAGGATCTGATGGTTCACAGTATCAAAGGCAGCAGACAGGTCTAGAAGGACAAGAGCAGAGGAGAGAGAGTTAGCTTTAGCAGTGCGGAGAGCCTCCGTGACACAGAGAAGAGCAGTCTCAGTTGAATGACCAGTCTTGAAACCTGACTGGTTTGGATCAAGAAGGTCATTCTGAGAGAGATAGCAAGAGAGTTGGCTAAAGACGGCACGCTCAGTAGTTTTGGAGAGAAAAGAAAGAAGGGATACTGGTCTGTAGTTGTTGACATCAGAGGGATCGAGTGTTGGTTTTTTGAGAAGGGGTGCAACTCTCGCTCTCTTGAAGACGGAAGGGACATAGCCAGCGGTCAAGGATGAGTTGATCAGCGAGGTGAGGTAAGGGAGAAGGCAGTGGTGTAGTGGTCCCTGGAGAAGTGGGTATACTCTCAGTATTCACCTTTTTTTTTTTTAAGTAGTCCAGAAAAAAGCCCTGTTTTAGAAACAGTGACATGTAAGACTATGATTTAGTTTACCCAAAAATATGTAATTTCTACTTGCACACTATTATAAAATGATCATGACTTGATTAGGAGCAGTTTGTAGTTACTACTGGTCACAAGAGCAGCCTGGATGAATGTAAAATGTATTTATCATGAGGCAAACAGGAAATGGTGTTTCGATTATTTTTTGCACATTTATTTAAATAAAATACTTCAAATCTGAAGGTGACAATGCATCCTTGTTCATATTGCTATATGCTTTGTTTTGAACATGTTCATTTACCGGTAAATCATTCAACAAAATATGTTACAACAATATTTAGTTAACAATTAACAAAAATATATGCATTAACAACACATCAACAGTGATATACTCTCTCAACCCAGCACTGGGTTTCTGACCTTTGCTCATACTACAGTATATTCCAGACAAATTTGCTTTCTGCAGGAGCTTTCACACTGCACTGTCTAGAACGCACCGAAGAGGCAGCACGATGGCTCTTCAACCAGGTCCTTGTATATTTTCTAGGATCAAACTTGGAAGTTGGTGGGCCGTTGATATTAATCATCATCAAGTTTGATATGTTTGAGATCAGAAGGACAGCCCTCTTGTCTGAGCTTATATTGTTCATAAGGCTAAAATTCCTCTCACACTCTGCTGTACCGACAGGGAATGTTTTCATACAGTTCATAAGTGGTTTTAGGTCCTTGGGCTCACTACTGGGCTCTTCCAGTAGGTCCCGCATCCCATTCAGTGCTTGGTCTGTGCACAAGTTAAATCGCTTGCACAGTCGCTTAACTTGTTCTTCACCATGGCGGATGCTGGGCTTTGATGGCCACTTACTCTGATCAAGGATGCTGAGGTCCATGATGGTCTCATCTTCAAAAGACAAGCGTTTCTCCAGATTGTTCACAAGGCTTTGTAAGAACTGGCCTGGATTGATAGACTTCAGCTTTGCATTTGTTTTCAGGGCTATAGACCGATACTCCCCAGTCTGTTTTGCTTCTAAAGCCTCACTATATTTCTCACCTGGACTCTCTTTGAATGACTGGATCACTCTGATTGAGCGTTTCAGCAGATGCTCTGCTCCGAGGAGCGTTATAGAACGAGACTGAAGCTCCTGTGACAGGAGACTTAGTTCATGGAGAGTGTCGTACATGAGGCCAAGGTCACAAATGAATTCTGGACTTTGAACACGGTCTAACAAACCTCTGTACATCTGCCTCTCTTTGGTGGACCTCATCTCATCACTGCAAGCATTTTTAAAGTGCTGCACAAGAGCTCCCAGGGATGTCCAAACAGCACGAACAGTCCGAAAGCTACTGGCCACCCAGCGTACATCCAAGATTCTGCCAATGCGAAGAAGTTGTGAGCCTACTTCAGCTGCTGCATTAACAAGTTCACGTTCATTTTTGTTTGACACACTATACAGAGAGTATAGCTTCTGGATAAAAGTTTTAAAGTGATTGACAGAGTTTACCTCATCAACTGCATCTGACACAGCAAGTTCAAGTCTATGGTTCATGCAGTGCCATACAAAAAGCTTTGGGAATCTCAAAGTCAGTCTGGTTGCTACTCCTGACTTCTTTCCTAGCATGACACTGGCTCCATCAGATACAAATGTTACCCAGTTTTCATGAAGCCACTCTTCTGTAAAGCCAGCATTAGTTAAACAGGTGAGTAACGCCTGTAATATGCCATCTGCTCTCTGATTTTCCAGTTCAACAAGTTCCAGGAATATGAACTCAGGGCTTTCTTCTTGAATTGATGCTTTAATAGAAACTGTCATGACAGCTTTGTGACTTAAAGAAGATGCCTCGTCAATTAGGACAGCTAACTTACTGGATGATGCTATAATGCTACTGATGATTTTGCTCTGCATCTCACTAGCAACATGTTGTATTATTTGTGTTGCACTGTAACGTGAATGAAGTATTGAGCCCATTTTTACACCATTCAGTTCCTGCAGCTCAATGAGGCTCTCATGGTCAGAAAAGGGTCGGTTCTTTTTGGCCAGATGGTAGGCTGTTCGAAACACAGCTTCAGTTTCCTTCATGTAGGACTCAGTCATAGTCTCCACTGCATTCTCAATGGCAGCTTCTTTCTGTTGCTCTGCCACCTTCACAGCCTGAGTGTGGGCCTTGGACAACGCATGTTTCCTCACCTTATTTCTCAAGATTGACAAACTTGTTGTTCTACTTCCCTGGCCAGACACTTGAATTTCAAAGTTCATCCATTCTCTTGAGAGCGATACACCTTGCTCCTTGTCGATCCCAATGGAGTTCACACTGCTACAGACCAGACATCCTGCGAAGCATAAACAAACAATGTAACTACTCCTGTATCCACAGCTGTACGTGTGCATGGTCCTTTACACACACACACACACACACACACACACACACACACAAAGTTATCTGTGCCCACTGTTTCAGAAGTTACCCAAACTAGCAATCTACCTAAACTTACCCAATTTTTTGTTTTTGGATCCCAACCAGGGGTTCTTGGATTTGAAGTCTTCTGTTTGTTTAGCACTCCACAGGTCTGGCCAGTCATTATTGATGTCTACAGACAACAACAAAACTAATTATGCATCTCCCTGTCTCTCTCTCTCTCACACACTTACACACACACACACACACACACACACACACACACTACTGTGATCACAATAGTCATCAGCAAGACATGGGTCCCCCTCTTTACATTAACAATCTGCATAACCAAGTGGAAATATTTTCAGCAAGTGAAGCTGAAGCATACAGGAGATTAGTGAGTGAAATACTTGGGAGAGTTTATTTAACAAAAAAACAACAAATTTAACACAAAATGTACAAAATGTTATATAACAGTAGCATTGTAAAAAACAAACATGGATACAGACAAAATAAATAGAAGGGCAATAAAATAAATAACATCACACAGAAATTCAAAATGAGGCTTAATCTGTCAAAATCACCTTTTGTTACAGTGTGAGGCTTCACTTTTCAATAAACTGGAGATGCAATTTACTGCCTGTGTGTTCTGACCTGGTGGTGGTAGACTGGATCCTTCTCTATGCTCACACTGACTTGCCTGGCTAGCTCCCGGTTGAGAGCTGCCAGGGCTGCTGGTTTTAGGGGTGGGGTCTGCCTGGGCCTGATCTGGGCCTGATTTGTGCCTCTTTACAAAAAAGTCTGCAATATCTCCCTTCCTTTTCATGGTTACCTGTCCCTATACAAAATAAGACAGCCTGATTAGACCTCAATATTGTTTTAGGCTGAATCTTAAACTATTTGTCCCCATTCTTGTGTTTTAACTTACTTAAAAATCAACTACCAGCTTAGCTACTATGCAATTAAACTAGATCATATAGGTTAGTTAGGGCTAAGTAACTTGGCTAATGTTATAATTTAGGGCTTAGTAACTTGGCTAACGTTATAATTTAGACCTTTACAATAATAAACAAGCTTCATAAACATTGAGATAATCAGTTTCATCAGTCTGGTATGAAATTCTTATGAACTGGGTTGATTAAACACTTACTGAAAACCAACAATGCCCCGGTTTCCCCACATTATCCCAATCTACGTAGCTAGCTTCATAACGTTAGCCGACTCGCACTAACTATTGGCGGCAACATCTCTTCTCCTCTAAATGTGCAGTCTCTGGCAATTTGCCAGTAGTTTAAAATAATGATTCATTTGGAAACCACCTTAAAACTTACCTCAGAATGATGTCTTCCATCAACTGGGGTGGCACACCGCCGCTTGTGTCCTTTCTTCATCCGTTGTTTGGTCTGCTGCCGTTATCGTAGTCAAGTGGCACCGGCACCTGAGTTTTTTTTTTTTTTTTTTTTCACTGGCACCTGAGGTATTAGCGATATTTTCCTCGGCATGACCCGCCCTACTCTGCCTCTGATTGGCTCATCAGTCCTCATGCCTAAAGTTAACCAATCTAATCAGTGAAAGCAGCGAGTACCAGCCAATTAGAGGCAGAGGAGGGTGGGTCATGGCTTCACTATCCCCGAGGAAGAAAATAGGCAATCTGACTCACAGATATTACTGAATGATGCGCATCAGGGGGGATTTAGAAGTGGGTATACGCAATGCTGACTGAAAAATAAGTAGGTATACGCCGTATACCAGCGTATACCCTGGACTACACCTCTGGGAGAAGGTCACCGGAGATGGTCTGGAGAAGAGAGGAGGGGATAGGGTCAAGCGGGCAGGTTGTTGGGCGGCCTGCCGTCACAAGTCGCAAGATTTTATCTGGAGAGAGAGGGGAGAAAGAAGTCAAAGCATAGGGTAGGGCAGTGTGAGCAGGACCAGCAGTGTCATTTGACTTAACAAACGAGGATCGGATGTCGTCAACCTTCTTTTCAAAATGGTTGACGAAGTCATCCACAGAGAGGGAGGAGGGGGGGGGGGGGATTCAGCAGGGAGGAGAATGTGGCAAAGAGCTTCCTAATGTTAGAGGCAGATGCTTGGAATTTAAGAGTGGTAGAAAGTGGCCTTAGCAGCAGAAACAGATGAAGAAAATGTAGAGAGGAGGGAGTGAAAAGATGCCAGGTCCGCAGGGAGTCTAGTTTTCTTCCATTTCCGCTCAGCTGCCCGGAGCTCTGTTCTGTGAGCTCGCAATGAGTCATCAAGCCACGGAGCTGGAGGGGAGGACCGAGCCGGCCGGGAGGGTTGGGGACATAGAGAGTCAAAGGATGCAGAAAGGGAGGAGAGGAGGGTTGAGGAGGCAGAATCAGGAGATTGGAGGGAGAAGGATTGAGCAGAGGGAAGAGATGATAGGATGGAAGAGGAGAGAGTAGCGGGAGAGAGAGAGCGAAGGTTGCGACGGCGCATTACCATCTGTGTAGGGGCAGAGTGAGTAGTGTTGGAGGAGAGGGAGAGAGAAAAGGATACAAAGTAGTGGTCGGAGACTTGGAGGGGAGTTGCAGTGAGATTAGTAGAACAACAGCATCTAGTAAAGATGTGGTCAAGCGTATTGCCTGCCTTGTGAGTAGGGGGGGACGGTGAGAGGGTGAGGTCAAAAGAGGAGAGGAGTGGAAAGAAGGAGGTAGAGAGACATGAGTCAAATGTAGACGTAGGGAGGTTGAAATCCCCCAGAACTGTGAGGGGTGAGCCATCCTCAGGAAAGGAACTTATCAAGGGGTCAAGCTCATTGATGAACTCTCCAAGGGAACCTGGAGGGCGATAGACGACAAGGATATTAAGCTTAAATGGGCTAGTGACTGTGACAGCATGGAATTCAAATGAGGAGATAGACAGATGGGTCAGGGGAAAAATTGAGAATGTCCACTTGGGAGAGATGAGGATTCCTGTGCCACCACCCCGCTGACCAGATGCTCTCGGGGTATGCGAGAACACATGGTCAGACGAGAAGAGAGCAGCAGGAGTAGCAGTGTTTTCAGTGGTAATCCATGTTTCCGTCAGCGCCAAGAAGTCGAGGGACTGGAGGGTAGCATAGGCTGAGATGAACTCTGCCTTGTTGGCAGCAGAACGGTAGTTCCAGAGCCTGCCTGAGACCTGGAACTCCACGTGGGAGGTGCGTGCAGGGACCACCAGGTTAGAGAGGCAGCAGCCACGCGGTGTGAGGCGTTTGTGTAGCCTGTGCGGAGAGGAGAGAACAGGGATAGGCAGAGGCATAGTTGACAGGCTGCAGCAGATGGCTACAATAATGCAGAGGAGATCGGAATGAAATGAACTAAACATCTGGGAAAGGAGAGAGCAGGGCCTCCCTCACCACAACTCCCAAATATAACTCTCCCAACTTCCACCTCAGAAACTATAATTGTTGTAAACTACAGCGGTTCAATGTTTTCTAGGAATAGACTAACTTAGTTTATTCAGCTAGCTAACTAGGTGCAGTATTATTCCGTGAAAATCGTCCGGGCACCTCGTCATAAGACGCCACAGCCAGCTAGCATGCCGGACTCCAACAACACGGTTTAGCGCCAATACTTGGCCACAACAAACCACCAGTGTATCAACACGCAAGCAGATCGTTCGTGTCCGTGTCTAATGTTGTGGGTTAGTCCCGACAGCTTGAGCGAGTCTGTCGTCAACTTATTCAGCCAGTTAGTTAGCTAGAATAGTTAGCAAACTAGCTAGCCATTGCTTTCAGACAAAGAAGAACCCCTCCTTTCACGGCACGAACACACAGAGAGAGCCAAACTAACGTTAACTAGTCACCCATGTCCTGAATTCCTTGAACGACTCGGGCTATCAATATGTAAAAAAAAAAAAAAACACAAATGTAGGTTATGACTTACCCCTAGCAGCTACTGTTAGCTAGCCAAGTGCAAAGCTAGCCACTGAATTGACTCAGCCAGTTCGCGTCTGTTCGCTCGGTCGTTCCAGCTATTGTTTACTAGTAGCTATCCAGGTAGCAACAAGCTAGCTAAATTTCAAGCACAGTAGCCACTTGCTACCTAACGTTAACGGTTCAGACAATGAGGTTAGAAAACAGCTGAATGGTAGGCAATTATTGTATGTAATTATTGTAGGCAGCCAGCTGGCGTAATTACAGGCACTCTCAGGCGTGAAACAACTATACCGTTGCTAATAGCTACTCGCCAGCTAGTCCAGGTGGTGGGTTAGCTAGCTAGCTTCGTGCTACACCCGGCACAGCCGAATACAATACTAACCTACAATAATTACATACAACAACCCACGATAACTGCCTACAATACCTAACTACAATCTAAATACATAGTTTAAGCCTTACTGTATAAAGCCAAGCTTACCCGACGCCAAGCTTACCCGACGACCTCCTCCTTCGACGACCTCCTATTACTCTCCAGTCCCCATAACTCTCCTTACATTCACTGTCTTCTTGGTAAGCAACTCCAGTGTAGATTTGGCCTTAGGTTTTAGGTTATTGTCCTGCTGAAAGGTGAATTCATCTCCCAGTGTCTGGTGCAAAGCAGACTGAATCAGGTTTTCCTCTAGGATTTTGCCTGTGCTTCATTCCGTTTCTTTTTTATCCTTAAAAACTCCACAGTCCTTAACGATTACAAGCATACCCATAACATGATGCAGCCACCACTATGCTTGAAAATATGGAGAGTGGTACTGTGACGAGTACTGAGGATACAAAGAGGCAGGACGCAGATGCAGGAATCAACAATGTAAAGGTTTACTTAACACTGAGCAAGAGAACAACAAAGAGCGAGTAAACGACAAGACACGAAGAATCACACACAACACAACACTGAACAGTCCAGGGCTATATAGGGGTGGTGATGAGATGATGAGTTGCAGGTGCACTGGAGGTGATTAGGGTGCGTTGGGTTTCCATTCCGGTGTTGCCGAGGTGGTGCGGTCAGACCGGTGGTTCAGTAAACCGGCGAATCAGAGCGCCGGAGGGGAGCAACGGGAGGAGACGTAACAGGTACTCAGTAATGTGTTATATTGGATTTGCCACAAACATAACACTGTATTCAGGACAAAAAGTTAATTGGTTTGACACATTTTCTTGCAGTATTAATTTAGTGCCTTGTTGCAAACAGGATGCATGTTTTGGAATATTTGTATTCTGTACATGCTTGGTTATTTTCACTCTGTCATTTAGGTTAGTATTGTGGAGTAACTACAATGTTGTTGATCCAGCCTCAGTTTTCTCCTATCACAGCTATTAAACTCTGAAACAGTTTTAAAGTCACCATTGGCCTCATGGTGAAATTGCTGAGCGGTCTCCTTCCTCTCTGGCAACTGAGTTAGGAAGGGCGCTTGTATCTTTGTAGTGACTGGGTGTATTGATACACCATCCAAAGTGTAATTAATAACTTCACCATGCTCAAAGGGATATTCAATGTCTTTTTTTATTTTTATTTGTTATCTACCAATAGGTGCCCTTTGCGAGGCATTGGAAAACCTCCCTGGTCTTTGTGTTTGAAATTCACTGCTCGACTGAAGGACCTTACAGATAATTGTATGTGTGGGGTACAGAGATGAGGTAGTCATTCAAAAATAATGCAACTTATTATGGGACTTATTAAGCCCATTTTTACACCTGAATTTATTTAGACTTGCCATAACAAAGGGGTTGAATACTTATTGTCTCAATACATTTCAAAACATCATTCCACTTTGACATTATAGGGTATTGTGTGTAGGCCAGTGACAAAAAAAATCTCAATTTCATCCATTTTAAATTCAGGCTGTAACACACAAACATTTGGAAAAAGTCAAGGGGTGTAAATACTTTCTGGAGGTGCTGTATACAGTGGAGCCCCTTTCATCCAGTCCCCATAATCTCCAACTAATGACACGTTTCCCTTCAGCACCATGATTGAGAGAGGGGATGGAAGCAAAAGATTATCTCCGCATGACATCTCCAGGAATGTCCAGCGATCTGCAGCTGATTTAGACATGAGTTTTGGATTTGACACATGACAGGAGCCAGGACAATAACAGGCTATGTCTGCAAGCCAAGGGCCTGGGTCACATCATAAATCAGCGCACAGACTGACTGGCAGCTGTCCACTTTGATTGCACCTGGAGGTAATTGAGACAACACAGTACTGTACTATACATACTCAATTCACACTATGACATACAGTATGAAGCTAATAGAGTCTGTGGAACAGAGAAATTAGACACATGGTGCATGTTAGGTCAACAAGGTATTCCACTGTGCACATAATTTAAAAGCAGCAATGGCACCTGCTATTTAAAACAGTCCAAACACAAGCGACTGTCAGTCTTTATCACAGGCCTACTGTACATCATCACAATGCTATTTGACCCAAATAGTGTATCAAGGCAATAAATAACCAGGCAGCAGGGATCAACTCTCTAATCCTAAATGGCACATCTGAAAGCCCCAGTAATATTCATTCATATCCATGATCGATCATCTGTGGAGACTGGAGATACATTATTGACAGCATTGAAATACATGGTGACAGAAATTATACATGACCTATCGATCCAAAGGCTTCTCTCAGGCCGCAGATCTTGATTACAATCCTATAGGTCTATAGGCCTACATTAATTAAAACGTAATATGGTAATAATTGCAGGAAAATATAACCTGGATATTTTAGCTGACATTATGCACTTGGAATATTTCATAGAATTATAGAATTATACAAAACAGTGTATGATATAGGCTACTGTATCTATGGTGCATTTATTAGGCCTACGTTATCCCAATAGGCCTAACCCGTTACTCTGGCTGTTGGCATGTTAATATCATTTATGACAACACAACATGAAGACCATCATTCATCAGGTTATGTTATTCACACGTCCACCGATTCAACACAGTCATAGGAAGGGTAATAGGTAGCCTAGGCAGTAAACCTTGGCACCGTGGGGTTTTGCAGAAATAGGACACAGCCTTGGCTACACTTGTCCCCACCACAAATGTTTTTGTCACTCTTTAGCCACTCTTTAGCCACCGCGCAGCGCACCTCCTTTCAAGTTGAGAATGCATTCTCATCTGGAATACGCCTAGGGTCCACGCCTTCTGCCCAATTTCCCCCTTAACCAACCTGCGCACCCCGAAACGCCATGGTCCGGTCTAGTCTAGACTGTCTCGTCCGCGGAGACACATTTTTCTCTCGCGTGTTTTTACAATTTGAGGCTACAGTCGTATGTGATATTTGCATTCAGCAGCGTAGTAGTTAAAGAAGTACCGAATGCGTTGTTTTATGTTCGGTGTGTTGCCCTCACTCCAGCAGACCGCTACAGTAGGAAGATGGCGTCGGAGGGAGCAAGCGGGGAACAGCGTCCTACGATACAAACACTGGCAACAACAGTGCTTGGAAGTGTCGAAGCGGTAAGACCTATTTATATTATAGCCAGGTCTATATGTTTATATATTTGCATTATTCGTTTTGGAATAAAGACACCGGGCACAGGAATAAGGAATACAGAAAGACGGTGCATTTCTCTATGAACCTGAGTGTTCATCTTGAAGCAACAGCAAGATGTTATTCTTGTGACAATGTAGCGAGCAGTAAAACAAAGGTTCTCAGATTTTCTTCCAAATAGACTATATACATATGATCCAAGTCTATTATGGGAATTAAAATCCTATAGTAAGGTAAAGGAATTGGGTTAATATTTTTCGAACACTATATCTCACACCTCAAAAAGCTCAGTCTATGTTGGCACGGCAGATATGGGGAAGCGTAGTTGGCTATAAAGCACTGATTTGCGGTGTTGTAATACATTTCTTACAATGTGGTCATAACGGTGGCTTCAATGTGTAGGCTACTTACATTTGAAACACAATTTAGGCTATAGGTTTGCGCTGGCTCGTCTTCTGAATAGGCTACGAGATAGGGCGCTGCTTTTGAGATGGCTGTTCAATGCACAATGTTGTAATTCTTTTCTCTACGTCAAAGCTCTAAGTTGAAACAAAATGTGTTAATGGTTGGTTTGTGCTTTGTGTCTTTAATGTGAAGATATTGTTATTTGATGTAGCCTAGCTGCAAACTTGCGTTTGAAAAATATTGCCTTTATGGTTAGAAAAGAGAGAAGGCCTACTAATACTTTAGATTTGACCTGTGACCAATAGAACAGTATTAGAAATGTTGAATCTTAGTGAAAGTGTTTGTTTGTCTGCAGTCTCCCGACTAATCGGGCAGAGTTGCACTTGTTTACAGTCATCTATCTGGGACTTCTCACTCTGGCCCCTCGTCTCGCAGACAGGCAGGTTACAACATATGCCAGGGCACCGGCTTGCTACCCATCTGTGCAAATTAATCAATATTTTGCCTCGCAGGAGGGGTCCGTGGAACCTTTCCCTGGTCGTGGTATGCTTAGATGGTTCCATGTGCTCTGTTCAGTCCGACCATTGCTGTCTACAGTCCGACCATTGCTGTCTATCGACCAGTCAGTCAATTCATGCAGAATAGGCACTGTGCTGGCCAGTCTCCCATTAGCCACTTGACTTTACCATGAACTACTCCTATTCTACACTTGTTTATATGTAATTGAGCATTTCTAATGCATTTGCATATTCTTATAGGGCACAGGAAATACAATAACTGTTCTGGGTTTGAGGTTCAAAGGCTATTGAAAATATTGACTGGAAGATCCCCTTGGGGTGGGGGGAGTGAGACAGGCAGGTAGCTGTTGAAATGGTAAGAAGAGAAGAGATGTGGGTGGTGGTAGAAGAACAAGGGTCGTTCCACCTCAAAAAGCACACGAAAGAGGAGTTTCGACACCTACCATCTCAGATTGTTCTGAAATCGGTTCTGTAGTTAGTTACAGATACGATCAGTATTCCTGAAACATTACTTTGTTTAAATATAATTTGATCTCTGAGAAATGTAGCTAATTGATTGCACCCAAATTGGCCATTTAAATTTATAGGATTCAGATAATATTCAATAGATATAGTACCCAACATCCGATTTGGACCAAACTTCTTCCTACCAATGAGTAAGACATGAAGAATCCACCTACGGACACCCCACACAGTATGCAGTATCAGTTATCTGTGTTTCACCAGTAGTATGAAGATTTTGAGTATTGTTTCTCCATACTATGTAATGTATTTCCTGTGAATCTGGTAACGTTTTTTTCCCCCTGTTCAGAGATATTAGCAATTAAAGTCGATTGCATTGTTTATAAAGTAGTGTGAAAGGACCATGTTTTGATCGCTAGATGCTGCTTCACTTTTTCCCTACCTATATGTACATATCTACCTCAATTACCTTGTACCCCTGCACAAATTGACACGGTGCTGGTACCCCGTGTATATAGCCATGTTATAGTTACTCATTGTGTATTTATTCCTCGTGTTATTCTTTTTCTATTATTTATTTATTTTTTCTCTCTGCATTGTTGGGAAGGGCCCATAAGTATGATTTTCACTGTTAGTATACACCTGTTGTTTACGAAGCATGTGACGAATAAAATTGGATTTGATTTGCTGTTCCTGCTATACCGCCTCACCATTTGATCAATTTTGCTGGTCTCTTGCAACATTTCCTTTGTAATTGTAGAAAACCAATAGATTTGGCTCATGATGAAAGTAAATTGTGTGATCACCCTCACAATTCAAGTCCTTCTCTTACACTTAAAGGGAAATGTAAAAAAATGTCAACTTCATATTCAGCATCTACAGCACCACCCCAACATCAACATATGTGAAAATTATGTGTTTCTATGTTTTGTAGTAAAAAAGATAGAGGAAGATAAGTGTTTCCAATTACATCATAAATCAATTAGTAGACTATTAGTAGGCAATTAGTAGGCAATGCCTACTCCCAATGGTGACTCCCGAGTGGCGCAGTGGTATAAGGCACTGCATCGCAGTGTTAGCTGTGCCACTAGAGATCCTGGTTCGAGTCCAGGCTCTGGCGCACAATTGGTCCAGCGTTGTCCAAGGTAGGGGAGGGTTTCCCACGGGGGGCCAGTATGAAAAAAAACAACAAAAAAAAAAAAACGTGTGCATTCACTAACTGTAAGTCGCTCTGGATAAGAGCGTCTGCTAAATGACTAAAATGTAATAATTGGTTAAAATCACATGATGCACACCGATGATGTCATTGGAAACACTTATCTTCCTCTATCTAACATAGAAACGTGCAATTTTCACATACAGTTCCTTCGGAAAGTATTCAGATCCATTGACTTTTTCCACATTTTGTAACGTTACAGCCTTATTCTAAAATGGATTAAATAAAACAGTGTCCTCAGCAATCTACACACAATACCCCATAATGAGAAAGCGAAAACAGGTTTTTAGACATTTTTGCAAATTTATTAAAAATAAAAAACAGAAATACCTTATTTACATAACTTTTCAGACCCTTTGCTATGAGACTCGAAATTGAGCTCAGCTACATCCTGTTAACATTGATCATACTTGAGATATTTCTACAACTTGATTGCAGTTCACCTGTCGTAAATTCAATTGATTGGACATGATTTGGAAAGGCACACACCTGTCTATATAAGGTCCTACAGTTGACAGTGCATGTCAGAGCAAAAACCAAGCCATGAGGTCGAAGGAATTTTCCTTAGAGCTCCGAGACAGGATTGTGTCGAGGCACAGATCTGGGGAAGGGTACAACGAATGTCTGCAGCATTGTAGGTCCCCAAGAACACAGTGGCCTCCATCATTTTTAAATGGAAGAAGTTTGGAACTACCAAGACTCTTCCTAGAGCTGGCAGACCAGCCAAACTGAGCAATCGGGGGAGAAGGGCATTGGTCAGGGAGGTGACCAAGAACCTGATGGTCACTCTGACAGAGCTAGAGTTCCTCTGTGGAGACGGGAGAACCTTCCAGAAGGACAACCATCCCTGCAGCATTCCACCAATCAGGCCTTTATGGTAGTGGCCAGATGGAAGCCACTCCTCAGTAAAAGCCACATGACAGCCCGCTTGCAGTTTGCCTGTCAGACCATGAGAAACAAGATTCTCTGGTCTGATGAAACCAAGATTGAACTCTTTGGCCTGAATGCCAAGCGTCACATCTGGTGGAAACCTGGCACCATCCCTACGGTGAAGTATGGTGGTGGCAGCATCATGCTGTGGGGATGTTTTTCAGCGGCAGGGACTGGGAGACTAGTCAGGATCGAGGCAAAGATGAACAGAGCAAAGTACAGAGAGATCCTTGATGAAAACCTGCTCCAGAGCGCTCAGGATGTCAGACTGGGGCGAAGGTTCACCTTCCAACAGGACAACGACCATAAGCACACATCCAAGACAATGCAGGAGTGGTTTCGGGACAAGTCTCTGAATGTCCTTGAGTGGCCCAGCAGGAGCCCGGACTTGAACCTGATCGAACATCTCTGGAGAGACCTGAAAATAGTTGTGCCGCAACACTCCCCATCCAGCCTGACAGAGCTTGAGAGGATCTGCAGAGAACAATGGGAGAAACTCCCCAAATACAGGTGTGCCAAGCTTTTAGCGTCATACCCAAGAAGACTCAAGGCTGTATTTGCTGCCAAAGGTGCTTCAACAAGTACTGAGTAAAGGGTCTGCATACTTATGTAAATGTCATATTTGAGGTTTTTATTTTTTAATAGATTGATGAGGGAAAAAAACAATTTAATCAATTAACTTAACAAAATGTGGAAAAAGACAAGGGGTCTGAATATGAAGTTGAAAATGTTAGAAATTTTCCTTTAATCTGTGTCCAAGAAACGTCCCCTTTGTGTATGGTTTATTCCCGTCAAAAAAGATCTGGATTAGTTACTGTTAGACCGTTCCTGGTGAACAAGCAAACCATTGGCTACAGCTGTTCTAATGGTTTCAATGTTATGGTCTTCAATGGTAAAAGTCCCAACACACACTGTATAGTGTTTTGCAATGGTAATGGTACTGGGTTGGGTTTAATGGTAAATATCATAATATATATAGAGCTGATTCATTATATTTATTTTTGTTGAAAAACACAAGACTGCCATGCAATGTATTGTTTTGTTAGGGTTGTCACAACATTTTAGTCCCTAGCCCATTTCTGCATCAAAGTTTTGGGCTTGTACGAAAAGTCTTCATATGAGAATTGCACCCTAGGGCTAGCCCTCTCAGAGAGCTGCCACTTGTTGGACCGTTCAAGGGGAGTTGGGTTGAAGTATTAGGTTGCTAAGAGAAGGACAAACTGAATTACTTTCATAGAGGACGGGCTTGAATTGTGAGGATGACCACACAGTTTATTTTCATCATGAGCGAAATGAAGTAGCCCAGTAAAACGGATAAAAGTGTTCTGCGGTATAGCAGGAGCAGAGGCATCCAGTGGTCAAAATGGGGTACTTCCACACTTCTTTATGATAAATAATGCAAGCAACTTCAATGACTAATTTCTCTGAACAGTGGGGAAAAGAACTCACCAGATTCACAGGGAATACATTACATAGGATGAATAAGCAATGCTCCAAACCACATCTTTATACTACTTGGGAAACATAGAGAACTGATACTGTATACTGATTGTTGGGGTGGGATTGGCGTGGAGGGTCCGTGGGTGGCTTTTCACAAAAAATGTCTTAGTCATTGGTAGGAAGAAGTTTGGTACAAATCTGATGTTGGGTACTATATTTATTGAATAGGATCTGAATCCTATAAATTAAAATGGCCAATTTGGGTGCAATTAATTAGCTTAATCTTCAACAAAATGATGTTTCAGGAATGCCATTCTTACCTGTTTCTAACTACAGGAATGATTTCAGAACAATCTGAGATGGTGGGTGTCATGGCTTGCTGAAATTACATGAAATGACTCAGAAGGCAAGAACAGTAAGATAAAGTAAGAGAGCAATGGAAGGAAGGAGGGCAGAGAGAGAGATGGAAGGAAGGAGGGCAGAGAGAGATGGAAGGAAGGAGGGCAGAGAGAGAGATGGAAGGAAGGAGGGCAGAGAGAGAGATGGAAGGAAGGAGGGCAGAGAGAGATGGAAGGAAGGAGGGCAGAGAGAGAGATGGAAGGAAGGAGGGCAGAGAGAGATGGAAGGAAGGAGGGCAGAGAGAGATGGAAGGAAGGAGGGCAGAGAGAGATGGAAGGAAGGAGGGCAGAGAGAGATGGAAGGAAGGAGGGCAGAGAGAGATGGAAGGAAGGAGGGCAGAGAGAGAGCGGAGTGAGAGAAGGAGAGAGGGAGGGAGGGGGAGGGAGTATGTACACCGGAGACGTTTCTAAATTGGTCTTAATTTCAGTGACTCAGCTGGCATAGCTCAGAGTACCGTATCAGCCAAGCCATCCAGCCAGCCCGCCAGCCCAGCACTACTGAGCGTGTTTAGTGCACTCTGCACTCCCCTGCACTTCCTTGCTTTAACGGCCCAGAGGCTAGTTTACATTTAGCGTTCAGCTGAACAGGTGCCTCGAGAGCAGCACAGCAACCAACCGTCCTCTCCAGCTCGGCCATATACTGTATCTCTGTTTCTCTCTCAGAAGCCGTCTTGCCATACAGGCCACGCCAAACCAGGCCAGCTATCCTCTCTTTAGGGGGTTTCCACTTCTATGCTCCCATGCCTGCCACAGTTAAATAAAGCACTTAGCTTTTTGCATACCCCTGCAACCAGGGCTCTAATTTAACATTTTTCATTATCAGCCTTTATTATTCTACTGTAGCTACTTTTGAAAAAAGTAGAAACTAATATGCAACACTGTAAAGACATTCGTTTATTATAAAAGCTCAAATGTTGATACGAATGCCTGTCATTGAAATTACAAGGTAATTTGTAGAATAGGTTTCTACATTGTGCAAAAGCACTATTTTCCTATTGAGATGAATTACATGGAAAATTGTACACTGTCTCTTTAAAAACGCCAGGTTTGTGACAATGACATACAAGAGAGCTGTCATTCATTCATTGCTATGATCATTGATCTCCTGAAGAAGCTATCACTTTCTTTTTCTTTCTGTGCCCCCAAGTGTTGGATAAACTGGTAAAGTTACCAGGTTGTTAGCTAGCTAGCCAATGAGGTAACATGACTGAACAAAGAGTAAACAAATGGTCAACGAGTAGTTTTAGAACGGCCCAAGACATGGTTTATATAAGTAAAATGCGGTCCCGGCAATCCGCTATAGGAAGATGCAAATGATGCGCCAGTAATTTGGGTCAGATCTTTTGACCTGTTTATGCTAGAAGCAAGCCGTATTCGCTGTAGTAATGGTGCAACCATGATGCTAACGAATATGCACTCTCGTTTTTCTCTAGGGCACTTGGAAACAATGGTACAGCGAAGCCTTATCATTACAACAATTATTATCTGGAAGAATTTCTTCCTAGGCTCATTGTGCTCCCAAAGTAGAACTCTTGGTCGCACAGGAAAATATTTAGTCGCATTATAGAGTCCTGCCTGCAACACCCTCTTTTGTTGGCCCTCGGTGGGGGAGTTTCTCTTGTGAAGGTCCCTTGAGGACCGGTTCACTTGGTTTAGAGAGGGGTCAGAGGTTGATGAATGGTGGTGGTAGGGCCACACTGGTCAGCGATACTGGTATTTTCACAGCCCTAGTCTGGTCCTCTGTAGCTCAGCTGGTAGAGCACGGCGCTTGTAACGCCAGGGTAGTGGGTTCGATCCCCGGGACCACCCATACACAAAAAAAATGTATGCATGCATGACTGTAAGTCGCTTTGGATAAAAGCGTCTGCTAAATGGCTTATTATTAAGCATATGCAGTAACATTTTCCAATGTAACAAAAACACTTGAGGACTTAAAGCTTGAAGCTGGTCTTCAGTCTTGTCCTCTTCAGTGTGTCTCAATGGGAAGTGACATAGGCCTGATTAACTCCAGTACAGTGAGGAGTTAGCTGAATACTATCCAGGCTCCTGCCCTTTGCAGGCAGCACAGCACACCACGTCTGCATCCCAAATGACACCGTATTCCTTATATAGTGCACTACTAGGGCTCTGGTCAAAAGTAGTGCACTATATAGGGAATAGGGTGCAATTTGGAACGTATCTCACGGCTCATGGAACAAATTAGCGTTAGCTTCCCTCACCTGCTCACTGTGCAGAAATGCAGGAGGGGGAAATGCCACCCGAGCACATTGACGAAGACCGGGGGCCCACATGACAGCAGCGCGTTCAGGCTTTGGTTGGGATAGTGTCATGCAAGCCTTCCAAGACTTCCAATTCTCCAAATGGCTCACTGGCAGCAGCACAGCATAGGGAGAATGCTACGTAGGGGAATAGATTTGAAAGCTTGAAACAGAGTGAATACATCGCTGGATTCTTCACTTTTAACCCTATCCTGGTTTGATTGGGGCTGTTCTGAATGAAATAGATTGCCATACTTTCTAAGGGCTTCAATCTTACTGTAACTTGGTTTACTTGCTTGCACAACTAAAATTATTTTACAAAGCTGTATTAGGCTAAATTAAACCTGTATCAATATTTGCCTATGATTTACACAAAAGTTGGACATACTGGTATCTCAAGCCCTAAGAGTCTTACGATGTCTTGTCATCCAGACATAATATTTGAACGCCTAGTATTTAGGGACACTTTGAACTCCAACAGCCTGCTGGAAGACCATGCTGGTTCCATAGGTCATATATTCTGTCTGTGATTTAAGAGAGCTCTTTGAAAGATGAAAATGGAGGAACATTGGCAGGGATTCAGAACTATGATAGACAATCATGTATCTGTGGCAGGGTGATTGAATGTCGCTAAATTGAACAGGTACAAACGCATGTGCCTCCGCACAGATAGAATAGAACACTTGTGACTAGAGGCTAGGAGTTCGTCCCTCCCTCCCTCTTCAGATTTTCTTTGGTTTATTATGTTTTATTGAACAAATAGCTGTGCAAAAATAAAAGCTCAGCTGAAAGAAATTAGATTGAAAAATGGAATTGGATGTTCTTCTAGTGCTATAAGAGAGGGTGTCTCTGCAGATGTTCTTGCCAAGTAACTTTATCACCTCCGATCTTATCTCAGTGCATCTCTCAGCCTGTGAGGTTGCATCATTTTCATTGTACACCTATATAAATGTAGTTGTTCCCAATATCTTCAAAAGCTGTGGAAGGAGGATGACAAGACAAGTTCATCTTATTCAATCAATACAACGAGTCCTCAGTCTGTCATCTGTCAGTCAGTTTGACACTGTCGTCTCTGTCATGGAATGTAGACTAACCAGAACCAGCCACCGTTCCAATGTCCTCTCTCCTCGCCAAACAATCTACCGGTAAACCCAGGAACGTATAGCCAGCCATTTCTCAGAGAGGTTGGAAAAGCTTTTAATTGATTGATGACACAACAGCAGAAAGTGGTCTGGTCATTCACAATTACCGCTATCCTCCTTTCCAATCCGTCCGTCCATTGCCCCTGTGGGTCCAAATGGCAAATCAGCTTTTAATGATGTGGCTAAATGTAGGTCGACCTTAATGGCCTTAATGTACAGCCAGACATTCAGCCTTAATGAGACCCATCTGAGGAATGAGTAGTGTTGTTTGTCATCATGCACATTTCTAACTCAACTGTTTTGTTGCTGTTGATGCAGTTTGCAGTAAGTTGGTGCTCTGAAGTTTTATGTCCTTCTTTGCCAAAACATTTGGGATTTCCCTTGGTTTTGATTACAAACATACATATTTATGAGTGTTTTCTATGAACGGAGTATAATATTGGCTGGAGAAAAATGTGTTCATATTGGCTGGAGAAAAATGTGGTGTCCCAGTTATATTTAAAAAACGTTTTAAATATATCTCTCACTTAATATGTGATAAGTAAGATGTGTGTGTGTGTGTGTGTGTGTGTGTTGCAGAAATGTGAGTTTAACATGGATAAACTGAGCAAGCCGGAGCTCCTGACCCTGCTCAGCATCATGGAGGGAGAGCTGGAGGCCCGGGACCTGGTCATAGAAGCCCTGAGGGTGAGTACACACACACACACACTTGCATTCAGCATCTACTACAGTGAGATATGGATGATATTTGTGTACACATATTGTTGTCTTGGCTTCTGTTCTCTGTGTTTTGAACTACGTGGCTAAAACACAGTTATGTCAAGTTTATACTAGAAATGGTATGGTGGCAGTGTGGTATTACTTTGTTGCATGAGGCTCAGACAGGGCCTGTAGCTCATTGAGCTGTTTCATCCCACTGTAGTAAACCTGTAAGGAGTGTTGAACTAAGCACTACTTTCAGATCATGGCATGTAGATAAAGTGGATGAGGTTATGTGAACAGATGAGGTTTTACATTATGGATGACAAGGTTACTGGATGAGGGATGAGGTTGTGGTACAGATGCCATCGATTATGTTGTTAAAGTGGTGCCAGACATGGTGTTGGTCTGAGGACACAGTTTTGTCCTTGCATTGAGGTTACTAGCTGTCCTCCTCGGGGCTAAGCAGCAAGTTATTTCTGAAAGAACCTTTCAGGACTCACTCTCTCTCTGTCTCTGTGTGTCTCTCTCTCTCTCTGTGTCTGTCTGTCTGCTGTATTTAGGTCAGAATCAGCACTGCCGTGTTTTGCCTGGTGCTCCACTTTGAGCTGTCTTGTCCTCTTAAACTTTTTAATGGGTTTCTTAATGTGGGATAGTTGAGTAGTTCTGGGACCAGGGCTATAGACAGGATAGAGGCCAGTCTCTCTGTTTTCTCTTTGCCTTTGGAACATTACATTGAAATCTGCTCATTATTCTCTATGGGCAAACAATTTGGTTGTAGATATTGCAGTTTTTCTTTGATGTAATGCGTTTTTGTCCTTATCGACCTGAATGACATTGAACAGTGTTTTCTGTTTTTTTCCTCCTTGCTCGATATGTTGGCACTGGCCTTAGAGCAGGGATCAACAACTAGATTCAGCCGCAGGCCAATTTCTTCTTGAGCGGATGGTCGGGGTGCCAGAACATAATATAAATATGTATTTTTAGACTGCCAATTGACCGCAAGAAGCCTAAACAGATATAATATTTGACTAAAACATAATAATTTCAAACCTTGATTACATTTCGGAATATTGTCCTGCGTAGGGTGCCGTCTTTCAGATGGGACGTTAAAATGGTTGTCCTGACTCTGTGGTCATTCAAAATCCCATGGCGCTTATTGTAAGAGTAGTGGTGTTCAACCAGTGTCAAGTCTAAATTCCAAATGCATACAGTGCATTCGGAAAGTATTCAGACCCCTTCCCCTTTTCCACATTTTGTTACGTTACAGCCTTATTCTAAAATGGATTAAACAACAACAACAACAAATCATCAATCTACACGCAATACCCCATAATGACAAAGCGAAAAAACAGTTTTTTTGAAATGTTCACAAATGTATTACAAATTTAAAACAGAAATACCTTATTTACATAAGTATTCAGACCATTTGCTATGAGACTTGAAATTGAGCTCAGGTGCATCCTGTTTCCATTGATCATCCTTGAGATGTTTCTACAACTTGATTGGAGTCCACCTGTAGTAAATCCAATTGATTGGACATTATTTGGTAAGGCGCACACCTGTCTATATAAGGTCCCACAGTTGACAGTGCATGTCAGAGCAAAAACCAAGCCATGAGGTCGAAGGAATTGTCCGCAGAGCTCGAAGACACGATTGTGTCGAGGCACAGATCTGGGGAAGGGTATCAAAAAATGTCTGCAGCATTGAAGGTCCCAAAGAACACAGTGGCCTCCATCATTCATCAATGGAAGAAGTTTGGAACCACCAAGACTCTTCCTAGAGCTGGCCACCTGGCCAAACTGAGCAATCGGGGGAGAAGGGCCTTGGTCAGGGAGGTGACCAAGAACCCGATGGTTACTCTGACAGAGCTCTAGAGTTTCTCTGTGGAGATGGGAGAACCTTCCAGAAGGACAACCATCTCTGCAGCACTCCACCAATCAGGCCTTTATGGTAGATTGGCCAGATGGAAGCCACTCCTCAGTAAAATGCACATGACAGCCACTTGGAGTTTGCCAAAAGGCACCTAAATGACTCTCAGACCATGAGAAACAAGATTCTCTGGTCTGATAAAACCAAGATTTAACTCTTTGGCTTGAATGCCAAGCATCACGTCTGGAGGAAACCTGGCACGATCCCTATGGTGAAGCATGGTGGTGGCAGCATCATGCTGTGGGGATGTTTTTCAGTGGCAGGGACTGGGAGACTAGTCAGGATCAAGGGAAAGATGAACGGAGCAAAGTACAGAGAGATCCTTGATGAAACCTGCTCCAGAGCGCTCAGGACCTCAGACTGGGGCGAAGGTTCACCTTCCAACAGGACAACGACCCTAAGCACACAGCCAAGACAACGCAAGAGTGGCTTTGGGACAAGTCTCTGAATGTCCTTGAGTGGCCCAGCCAGAGTCCGGACTTGAACCCGATCTAACATCTCTGGAGAGACCTGAAAATAGCTGTGCAGCGACGCTCCCCATCCAACCTGACAGAGCTTGAGAGGATCTGCAGAGAAGAATGGGAGAAACTCCCCAAATACAGGTGTGCCAAGCTTGTAGCGTCATACCCAAGAAGACTTGAGGCTGTAATCACTGCCAAAGGTGCTTCAACAAAGTACTGAGTAAAGGGTCCGTTATTTAATTTCTTTTATATACGATCACATATGTATCTCTATTATGCATAGGAATACTTGGGAACAGATTTCCAAAATGAAAATCACTCGGAGCTGATTTCCTGGTGTTTTTAGTCTTTAGTCAAATTTCGGCCTGCGGACCGCCAGTTGGGGAAACCTGTCTTAGAGGCTGTGCTTGATTTGGATCTACAGTATACTACACCCATCTCTCTCTCTTTCTCTCTGTCTCTCTCTCCTCTCTCTCTCTCTGTGTCTCTCTCTCTGTGTGTCTCTCTCTGTCTCTCTCTCTGTGTGTCTCCTTTTCTCTCTCTCTGTGTCTCTCTCTCGCTCTGACTCTCTCGCTCTCTCTGTGTCTCTCTCTCTATCTCTCTGTGTCTCTCTCTCTCTCGCTCTGTGTCTCTCTCTCTCTCTGTGTCTCTCTCGCTCAGTGTCTCTCTCTCTCTCTGTGTCTCTCTCGCTCTGTCTCTCTCTCTCTCGCTCTCTCTCTCTCTCTCTGTCTCTCTCTGTGTCTCTCTCGCTCAGTCTCTCTCTGTGTCTCTCTCTGTGTCTCTCTCGCTCAGTGTCTCTCTCTCTGTGTCTCTCTCGCTCAGGTCTTCTCGTCAGGTCTTCTGTCGTGCCTTCTCCGCTCTCTCTGTGTCTCTCTCTCTTGGGTCTCTCTCTCTTGTGTTTTTTGGGGTGTCTCTCTCGCTCAGGTTCTTTTGTTCTCCGTGCTCTCTCTTCTGGTTTCTTTCCTCTCTCGCTCTCTCTCGTTCGGGGGTCTCTTCTGTGTCTCCTCGTGGGTTTTTATCTCTCTGTCTTCTCTGCGCGGTCTTTCTTCTCTCTCTTTTCCTCTGTCTCTTGTCTCTTCTCTCTTGGTGTCTCTCTCGTAGGTCCTCTCTCTGTTTTTCTCTCTTCTCTCTCGCTCAGGTCTTTTGTGCTTCTCTGTTTGTCTTTTCTCTCTCTTGCCTCTCGTGTCTCTCTTCTGTGTTTCCTCTCTGGTTCCCTTTTTTCGTGTTTCGCTCTCGGGGTTCTTTTCGCTCTTCTGGTTCCTCTCTCTTGTGTCTCTTTTTGGGTCCCCTCTCTTTCTCTGCTCTCGTGTTCCTTTTGCTTTTCTCTCCTTTCTCTCTTTGTGTCTCTCTCTGTTCTTTCTCGCTTGTTTTTCTCGCTCTGTGTCCCTCTCGTGTTCTTCGTAAATGTCCTCCTCGCTCTCTCCTCTCTTTGTGTCCCTCAGTGTCTCTCTGTCGCCTCTCTCTCTGTCTCTCTCGCCTGGTTCTCTCTCTCTCTGTCCTCTCTCTTGTCTTTTTTGTGTCCCGCTAGTTCTTTTTCCGTGTTTCCCCCTCAGTCTCTCTCTCTTTTGTTTTTCTCTTTGGGTCTCTTCTTTGTCTACTCGTCAGGTCTCTCTTCTTTCTTGTCAGGTCTCTGTCGTGGTTCTCTCCTCTTTTCTCTGTGTCCGCTCTCCTTGTACCTCTGTCAGTCTTCTCTCTCTCTCCTCTCTCTCTCTCTCTCTCCCCTCTCTCTTCTCTCTTTCTTCTCTTTCTTTGTCTCCGCTCAGTCTCTTTCGCTTCTCTTCGGTCTCTCCGTCTCCTCGTCCTCTCTCTTCTGCTCCCCCTTCTTCTTTTGGTTTTTCCTTTTTGTGTCTTCTCGTCAGTGCTCTCGTGTCTCTGCCAGGTTTGTTCTGTGTGGTTCTCTCTTCTGGTGGTCCATCTCTCTTTTCTCTCTTCTCTTTTTTGTCTCTTCTTTCGTGTCTCTCTCGCTTTGTGTCTCTCCTCTGTGTCTTCTCTCTCTTTTTGGTGTCTCTCTCTCTGGTCTCTCTCTTCGCCCTGTGGTCTTCTCTCGGCTTCTCCCCGTCTTTTTCCTCCAGGGGTCACTTTTCCTTGTTCTCTCGCTAAGTGTCCTCTCTCGTCTCTCTTTTGCACTCTCTGTGGTCTCTCTTTCTCTCTCTTGTGTCTCTCCTCAGCCTCTCTCTTTCTCTCTCTTTCGGGTGTGTGTGGGTGTGTTCTCCTCTCTCTTCTTTCGCTCGGGTATTCCGCCGGGTTTTCTCTTCTGTGTCTCTCTTCTCTCTCTGGCCTCTCGCTCCCCTTCTCTCTGCTGTTTCTGGGTTCTCTCTGCCCTCCTGTGTCTCTCTCTCTCTTCTGTGGTTTTCCTCTCGCTTTCTTCTCTCCCCTTCTCTGTGTCTTTCGCGCCTTCTTATGTTTCTCGCTCAGTGCCTTCTTTTCCCGGTCTCTCGCAAAAGTCTCTCCTCTTTGTTCCGCAGTCCTCTCCTCTTCTCTCTTCTTTTTCTCGTGTCTCTCTCCGTGGTCCTCTTATGTTCTTACTCAGTGTCTCTCCGCTAGGTCTCTTTCGTGTTTTCTCTCCCCTTCTTTGGTTTTCTCTTTCTC